TTTCAGAGATAAGATTAAAAAAAGACTCAGAACTCGTTCCTGGGGAGGACAGAATTCAGCACCCGAAGGATACTCAAGTAAGCTTTTTTTGCCTCAAACAAAAAAAAAAAAAAAACAACAAAAAAATAGAGCTGGAAGTTCATGACCCTGGGAAATAAGGAATACCTGTCTTTATTCTTGACGTTGGGGGTCTCAGCCACGATGCCAGCATAGAGCCACATCTGATTGCCATCCTTGTACCTGGCCACCACCCTGCTGCCCACGTGGTGCCTCTCAGGACACGGGTGGTAGTCGTAGGCAATGTGGTTGCCCGAGAGCAAACTCTTCCCTTTGTTATCAAATTTCACTTTGTATTTCTTGCCAGCACCTGGGAGGGCGTTTTGAAGAGAAACAGAAAATAAAACGAAAGGGAAACTGAATAGAAGCCGGGCGGTTTCATCCCAGAGAGGCAACGCCCTGGGTCATTCTGTTTATTCACAATTAACTCAGAGCTTATTTAAAATCTGCCCAGAATTCATTTGGAGGGTGAAACGGTGCAGCTGCGTCGCTCCCACTGTCCCTTCCAGGTTTGACACCAGGTGCTCTGACACCTTTTAATCCACGTCTCCCCCCCAGATCACAGGGAAAACCCCACGCCCAGCACCTACCCACTGGTTTGATGGCAATCAAGGTCCCTTTGTGCCACGTTTTGGTTCTTTTCTTGCCCAAAATCCTCATTCCCACTTTGAGATCCCCGTCAGTGTTGAGATCATCCCCAGGGGCCGGGGGGACAACGGGCTGGGCAGTGCCAGGACATGCCTGGGGGGGCTGTGCCTCTGCCAAGGAACAACAATCAGTTATAAATCCCCCAGAGCTCCCTTTTCTGCTGGAATTACAGCTGGGATCACGTCCCTCCGAGCTGCAGCAGGAGGAATTCCTCCTTTCCTTCCCCTCAGGCAGCCCAAGTGCCTCCGTTTTACTGCATGGAAAGGACTTAAAGAAAACCAGGAGTTTGGAATCCATATACCCCAAATTAAAGGAAAAATGGAATCTGGAGTCAATAAATCCTAACAGAGCTCCCCAGCAAGGAAAGTGGATCGTTGTTTGCCTTTTTTGGGAAGCAAAGGCCCAGGGCCAGGGCACACCAGGGGGTCTGTTGGCCCCTGGAAGGTCCCACACCTTTTTGTGCTTCCTGGGAGCTTGTTTTCTTGTTCACAGCATCCATGAATTTCGCAACATCCCGGGCAGATCTCCTCATGGCAGCCATTGCTTCCTGCAGCTGGAAGGGAAAAAAGACAAGGGAATTATGGAGAAACTCTTTTTTTTGCACCAAACACAAAGACCGTACCCCAAGAAAATCCCCACTAGAAGAATCATCTGTAGTCAGGACCTTCTCACTCACCAGACTCTGATCCTTGGAGATTCTGGAGCTGCTGGTGCCTGTGAGTGAAGAGGAAAAAATGGTTTAAAACATTTTGGTGGGGGGGGAAATCCATCCTCATTAAACCACAGGAAAAAGAGGGGACAGGAAAAAGCATCCACCCCAAACCTCTGTCAGGAAATCCACTCAAATAAGGCTTTTCCTCATTCATCTTTTTTAATGTGAGGCAGGGGACAACAGTCAGGGACGTTGGGAAAGGGTAAAATCCCACTTTGGGGCTCCAGGAATCATGGAACGTTAACAGGACGTGGCAGCTGCTCCTCACGAGCAAAGAGCAGTCCCTTATCCCACTGCCCCTGCTGTCCTGGGCACACTGGGATTTACTGAACTGTGCTTCCAGCCCGAGTCCACGCTCATGACGTCGTCGTCCTCCTCGTCCGGGATCTCGATCACTTCCATGGCCGCCGGGGCCTCGTCCTCGGAGCTGCTCTCCCGGTACTGGAGGCCCATCATGGAGTACAACTCCTTGGCCAATGTCTCGCACTTGTCGATGGCTCTGGAGGAGAGGGAGGGAATCCGGCTGTACATCCTGGAATACCACAGGGACGACCAGGAACGGGCAGCTGGGCAGCTCCCAGTTACACCTGAGGGAAGCGTCCGCACCAAGGATTTAAAGCCTTGGGGGGCTGTCGCTGTCTGTCTCCCTCATTAACCACACGCAAACTAAGTGACCTCGATCTGCTCTAAAGGGAATGAGAACGCCCCCCACAGCCCCCTCCTCGGAATTCCGGCCCATTCCAGATCCACCCACCTGGTGGCATTGTCAATGAGCTGGTCAACGTGAGCCGCCTCCTCCTCCTTGTGTCTCACACACTTCTCCAGCTCCTCCAGCTGCTGCTTTCGCTGCCTCACCCACTCGCAGTTCTCCACCTCCTTGTCGATGATCTCCTGCAGCTCCTGCAGGGAGATTCCCAGCTCCTCCACCACCTCCTGCTGCAGCTCTTCAATGTCCTGGGTATCCATCTCTGCTGCCCTCAGAGCAGAACAGGTGAGGGAGATCAGGGGAGGGGAGGCAGGGGAGGGAGAGGGAGGGCAGGCACAACCCCTCCTGTCCCAATGTCCCCCAACCGCCACCCCTGTCCCCTCACAGTCCCTCTCCACCCCACCTCCCTCCCCATCCCCTCAGAGCTCCCCCACTCCCCTCATGAGTCCCCGATCCCCCCCCGGTCCCCACAGTCCCCTCGATACCCTCATGAGCCTCCCGGTCCCCTCAGAGCCCTCCGATCCCTCACAGCCCCACGATCCTCCCCCGACCACCTCAGAACCCCCCGTCCCTTCAGAGCCTCCCTGGTTCCCCGAGGGTCCCCCGCGTTCCTCAATGTCTCCCGATCCCTCGTGGTTCCCTCGGAGTTCCCGCGTTCCCCCCGGTCCCCTCAGAGCCCGCCGGTGCCGCCCCATCCCCTCAGAGCCCCCCGGTCCCCTCAGACTCTCCCGACCCCCTCCGGTCCCCTCAGAGCTCCCCAGTCTCCTCCAGTCCCCACAGAAACCCCCCATTCCCCCCGAGCCGGTCCCCTCCTTTCCCCCCCGTCCCCCCCGAGCCCCGTTTCCCCCCGTTTCCCCCCAGAGCCCCCCGTTCCCCCCCGTTCCCCCCTCACTCACCGCCGGCGCCGTTGAGCGGGCGAGTGCCGGCGGCGCTCCCGGCGGAATCCGCCTGTCGTCACCTCCGCCGCCCGCGGCCCGCGGTGCTGCCGCCTGGCGAGGGCGGCCGGGATAAGCCTGGGATAAACCGGGAATAAGGTGGGAATAAACCGGGAATAAAGGGGGGAATAAACCGGGGGTAAACCCCGGAACGCTCGGGATCGGGCCTTATCGCGGCCAGACCGCGGGGGGGGGGGGGGGGGGGTGCCCCTATTTACTGGCCAAGACTTACAGATCCCCTCACAGGGTGGGACTTTAGGCGCCCGCAGAGACCCCGACTTGTTACTTTAGGCGGCCCCGGAGCCCCTAAACTGCGTTGGGCCCCCTTGACTTGCTACTTTAGGCGGCCCAAGAGCCCCTAAACTGGGTTGGGCCGCCTTAATGCGGTACTTGAGGCGGCCCCAGAGCCCCTGAGCCGGGCTGGGCCTCCCTGGCTTGTTACTGAGCCTTCAGTGTCCCACCGACTGTTCCAGAACCTTCCGTGAACCGCCACCTCTGTGGGATTTGGGGTTTGCAACACGACGGGGGGCCCTGGGGGGCTCTGGGGGCCCAGAGGGGCCCCAGGAAGATGGGGGGGTGATGGGGGCACTGGTGGCTCTGGGGTGGAGGGGTCTGGGGGTTCCTGGGGGGCTCCGAGGGTCCTGGGTGTGATGCCAAGAAGTGCCCCCAAGAACTGCTCAGAGACAAGATTTAGTCTTCAAGCAGCGAGGTGTGTCTATTAGGCAACGTTGGAGAGCAGCTGGACAAACCGCTCTGTCTCTCCAGTGAAATTACAGGATTTTATACAGTTTCTACGAGTGATTGCAACATATCTACATACATATTCATATAATTGCAACATCTAATTATAATATTCATAGTAGGCGGGGTCCAGGCGGAGTCTGGGGCGTGGTCTTCAATTTGGGGAGAATCTGGGAGGGTCGTTCCTGTTTCTTCATCCTTATCGGCCCCTGGCTCAGGCTCCATCATCTTCATGAACTTTTCAACTTTCTTGGTTTTGGCCGACTTCATGGTGAATTTTGCAAGATTCTTGGACTCAAGCCCCATTTCGCCCCTTATCTTACTTAGGTTAGGTGTGTGTTCATTCTTTTAGTGTACGGTGCCACCTAATCTCTATCTCTAGGTTCTGGCAGTACATCCTTTGTGCTCTCGTTTATGCCTGTATTCTGACCTACCTATATTCTAATTTTAACTCTCTACCTGCTTTCTAGGCCTTGTCTGGCTTCAGGTGGCCTTGGGATGGCAGGGGGTCCTGTGGGGCTGGGGGGGTTGTTGGAGCACCATGTGGGGAGGGGGTGCTGTGGAGTTTGGGGGTCCCAGGAGGGTCAGTTGATGGGCTCCTCCTCCCAGGTGGAGGTGGGGATGGGTTTGGGGGTCCCAGGGAGTGCAAGGAGGGTCAGTTGATGGGCTTCTCCTCCCAGGCAGGGCTGGGGATGGGTTTGGGGGTCTGGGGGTGGTGTCAGTTGATGGGCTCCTCCTCCCAGGTGGGGCTGGGGCTGGGGTTGGGGTTCCCAGGGTTTTGGGGGGGTCAGTTGATGGGCTCCTCCTCCCAGGTGGGGCTGGGGCTGGGTTTGGGGGTCCCAGGGGGTTTAAGGAGGGTCAGTTGATGGGCTCCTCCTCCCAGGTGGGGATGGGTTTGGGGGTCCCAGGGGTTTGGGGGGGTCAGTTGATGGGCTCCTCCTCCCAGGTGGAGGTGGGGATGGGGTTGGGGGTCCCAGAGGGTTGGGGGGGGTCAGTTGATGGGCTCCTCCTCCCAGGTGGAGGTGGGGATGGGTTTGGGGGTCCCAGGGAGTGCAAGGAGGGTCAGTTGATGGGCTCCCCCTCCCAGGTGGGGCTGGGGCTGGATTTGGGGGTCCCAGGGGGTTTGGGGGGGTCAGTTGATGGGCTCCTCCTCCCAGGTGGAGGTGGGGCTGGGTTTGGGGGTCCCAGGGGGTTTGGGGGGTCAGTTGATGGGCTCCTCCTCCCAGGTGGAGGTGGGGATGGCGCTGTAGGGATCCACCACGAGCCGGGCACAGCGCACGGTCACGGCGAGGAGGAAGAGCCCCAGGAGCACCACGAAGGCCGTGGCCACGGCCTTGTCCACGTCCAGGGCGGGTGGCACCGGGGGGCTCTCCATGCAGGGATCCTCAGGAGGGGGTGTCCTGGCTGGAAGGGACCCCCAGGTGTGTCCCAAGAACCCTCAGGTGTGTCCTCAGGCTCCAGGGACCCTCAGGTGTGTCCCAGGAATCTGGATAAATAAATATGGATATCTATTTAAATATTTATTAAAACTGGTGTTGATATAATTTAATATTATAATATTCGATATTATTTAATATTTATATAATTGCTATATTATGAATCAATAGAGTCTATATATTATTACATATAATGTATTCTAGTATATCATACATATTTTAATGCTTTATATATATAATATATATATTATATATATATAATACAATGCAATCGTATTTTAAGATATTACACATATTATTACTAATGCATTATTTGGTATTATAATTTAATTTTACAATAAGTCAGTAATTAAAATATTTATCATAAATATTTGTTTTTATTTAAATGCATATGTTTATTTAAATAAAGACAGATATTTATTTCATTTATTAACGTGTTTGTGAAGCCAAAACGTGTGCCAGGAGCAGCCCTGGGTGCACCAAGGATGGCAAACAAATCCACGGGCCTAAATTATGGGATTGTGGAATTGCTGAGGTGGGAAAAGACCCCTCCAATCATCCAGCCCGGCGCTGCTGGAAAATCCCACCCTTTTCACAGAGGAATTTTCCCAAGTATCCAACCTAAACCTCGCCTGGAGCAGCTAGAGAGCTTTTCCTCTCATCCTGTTGTTCCCTGGGAGCAGATCCTGAGCCCACCTGGCCCCAACCTCTTTCCAGGGGGTCTCAGGGAGGGGGGAAGCCCCTGGATCCGACCCCCATCCCACGGAACAGCTCCGTCCTTACCTCCCCAGGGTCCCTGTGCCGGCCCCTCCGGCTCCGGGATGGCTCCAGAGCCTCATGAATTCTGCAGGAATGCGCCGGCATCACCTTTCAGACGCTCCCAGTCCCCGGGAGACGCAACCAGAGGATTGAATTCCCACCCCCCACCCACTTCTCCCATCAGGACAAGGCTCCGGGGGCCATTTCAGGTCTTCCTTGGGGCACGGGGTGGTTTGGGAAGTGCTGAGGAGGATTTATCCCAAAATACAGCAAGAACCAGGTCTTCCCAGCCTGGGAGAGGATTTTGAGCTGGCTCTTGTCTTACTTTGGAATAAACCGGGAAAAACTCTTGGAAAATGCATTGAACTGAGCTGCCTGTTTGGTTCTTGCAAAACAGTCTCATGACAAGACCCAAAACACCCAAATTACCCGAAAATGTCCCTTGGGTTTCTCTGTTTTCCCCCTCCAAGAGGAAAAATGGTCCCTTTGGGAAGACGGTGACATTTTGTTGCCCCGTGAGCGTCCCCGGGTTGGGCGGGGGGGCTTTCCAGAGGTTTTTCAGCAAAGGATGAGTTTTGGGGTCCTGTTGATGCCCCCCAAATCCCAGTCCTGACCCAAAATCCTGCTCCAGTCCCCATCCCAGTTCCGATCGAAACTCCATGTCGTCTGAATCCTCACTCCCTGCCCCACCCCAATCCCAGTCCCAGTTCCCACCCCAACCTAATTCCAATCTAAACCCTAAACTCCAGTCTCAATTCCAACCTTAATCCCCATCCCAAACTGAACCTGAACTCCAGTCCCGACCCTAATCCCAGTCTCAGTTCCCACCACACCCTAATCCCAGTCTAAACACTAATTCCCACCCCAGTCCCAACCCTAATTCCAATCCCAATCCCAGTCCCCGTCCCGTGACGTCACCGAAACAAACCCCGCCCTTCACAATGACCACGCCCCAAAGGACCCGCCCTCCATAAACCCCGCCCCAAAGGGGCGGGATCTTGTCTCCCTCGCCCCGCCCCGCTGCCCGCGCCGTCGCGTTCGCCCCGTACCCAACCTGACCTTCCGACCAATAGCAGCGCCGCGTCCCTCCTTCGCCACGCCCCCAACCCCTTGCTGGACCAATAGGAGCGCCGCGCGGCGCTGGCCCCGCCCCCGGGGCGGTGGGGCTGCGAGGCCGGCGGAGGTTTTCCTGCGCCGCCATCTTGGTTCGGCGGAGCGGAGCGAGGAGGGGGCGGTCCGCGACCCCCGCCATGGCCGCCACCGCCGCCGGCGCCGGTGAGCACGACCGGGGGGACCGCGGGGGCCGTGAGCGGCCGGGGGTGGCTGAGGGGCGAAGAGGAGATGAGGGGGGGCTGAGGGGGTGCGTGGGGGGCTGTGGGGGGGCCGTGGAGGTCTGAGGGGCGAAGGGAAGCTGAAGGGTTGCGTGGGGGTCTCAGGGGGTCTCAAGGGTTGCGTGGCGCTTGAGGGGTGAGAGGGAGGTGAGGAGGGCTCTGGGGGGCGAGGGGGAGCTGAGGAAGTGTGGGGGGGGGTCTCAGGGGGTCTCCAGGGGTGCGCGGGGGTCTCGGGGGGGTCTGAGGGGTGAGAGGGGGCTGCGAGGGGCAGCTGAGGGGGGGCGTGGGGGCCTCAGGATGAGTGGGGTGTTTCAGGGGGTGTGAAGGGGGCCTCTGAGGGGCGAGGGGCAGCTGAAGGGGTGCGTGGGGGTCTCAGGGGGTCTGAGAAGGCCCCGGAGCCCTGAGGGGGCTGAGGGGGATCCTGAGGGGCTGGGGACGGGGTGGGGGGGTCCTGAGGGGACCCTAAGAAGGACCCTCGGCGGGTCCTGGAGGGCTGGGGGACCCTGGGGGGGGGGGGCGTGGGGGGCCCAGACAGGGGCCTGAGACAGCTTTGGGAGGGCTGAGGGATTTGGGGCCCCTGAAGCTCCCTGGATTTGGGGTCCCTGGAGCTGGAGGTCCCTGGATTTGGGATCCCCGGATTTGAGGCTGATCCCCAGATCAATCCTCGGGTTCATCCCCGTAACTCCCTGTGTGCAGGAAGCTGCTCATCTCTGATTTTTGCCAAATAAAGCCCAGAGTATGTAATTTTATCACCTTTTTGGCTGAATCGTTCTGAAATGAGTTTGCCTCCAGGATGGTACAGCATCTGTGAAGTTGTACTGGATTTACAACGTGGTGGCCAAGATCAAAATTCGAGTTTATTTGTGTTTTCTGGGGGTTTTGATCTTCTGTCTTAGTGCTTTGTGGCTCATGGGACACACTCAGGTTTGTCCAGGAGCATTCCATGACCCTGCTGAACGATTATGGGGTTTTATTTTAACATTATGAGAAGTTTTTGTGGCTTTAAACGTGGAGAAAACACGTTGGGTCGCTCGTGTGTGAGGATTCTGAGAATCCAGGGAGGGAGGAAGAGACCTGTGGCTTTAAACTGTGTTTCCAGGCATTTGTGGAAGTGGTGCTCTCAGGGTTTCGTGATTTGTTGCGTAATAAAAATGTTTTAAACAAATTCTCGAGGAAAACAGAAAGAACTTTCAACATCTGCGTTTAATATTTATAACCCTGGGCAGAGCGACCAGAGTTTGCTCAACCCTTTTACACACTAAACATGGGGATTATTAGGAAAATAAACTCTGAAGGAGGATTCTCACAAATAATCTGGGTCTTCTTTCCCATGATGTTAAAAACCAGACTTCAGGGCTCCAGTGAATGCTGGATAATGCCCCAAAATGCCCGGAATTGTCTTCCCAGCCCAGCTGGGCTGTGGTGAAAGATGGGAAAAGGAACCACAGAAAGAAGTTGGAAGTTATTTGGGTGCTCAAAAAGTTGCTGGAAGAATAACTTGGGACTTATTTATGTGCTCAAAGTTGTCAGAAAAGGCAGTTTAACTGTGTTTTTGGACTAAAGGACACTTGAGTCGTAAAGAGGGGGGGGTTTGAAAGCTTTTGGTTTTGTCAATTTGATCAAGTTTTTGGGTGTTTAAATCTCCTGGCTGGGAGTGAAAAGCAAAGAGCCTCCACTGACAGGGGAAGGCTTGAAAAATACAACTACTTGCCTTAGTTGCTTTATTTGACAGGTTTTAATGTTAATTTGCATTATTAGGAGGTGTTTAGTGCTGGCTGGGTGAACACAGGAACATTTGGTTTTACAGAAGCTCGATTTCAGCCACTCAGCAATGGAAGAAACGTTCTTTTCCAGGTTTTTTACCTAATTTCTGTATTTCTTCTCGGAGGAGGTTCCCCTGGGGATGAAAGTGCTGAGCTGGCCTCGCCTGGGAAGCTCAAACAACCCAAAAAACCTCCTACTTCCTTAAAAAAAACCCGTTTAATGTACCCGAGGCACAGAAATTGAGATGTTTTGTAAGCAAAAAGCCATAAAAGCAGAAATATCAGAGCCTTGTAGTTGTGAGTGAAATGCAGAGTAGTTTTAATGTGCTTTATCTGCTCCCAGACCTGCTCCTGACTCTTTGGGGACTTCACAAATGGTTGAATTTAAAGCAAATCTTGTTGTGTGTGTTCCTCCCCCCCAGGCTTCTGCAGCAAAAGGCCCCAGTTTTGGTGTGTTTTGTACAATAAAATTGCATTTCCAAGCTGCTGCAGCCCCTCTGGTAAATCCCAGCTGGGAGGATTTGCTGTAAATTCATTTTGGAGGGTTTTTTTTTTTTCCCCTGTGGAGATTCCAGTGGTTGCAGCAGAGCCTTTCCCAGGAGAGCTGGGCCAGGAGCCTGGAGGGCTTTGGGATTTACAAACCTTTCCCTTCTGGCCTTAATTAGATTGAAAACGTGGGGAAGGGAAACAGGGATTGGTTCTGGGAAGGGCTGGGACAGACACCCCACGAGGACGTTGGAAAAAACCCACCTGGGGCTTCCTGGGACTCTCAGCACTGCTTGTTCCCAAGGGTTGTGTCCTTTTGGACACCTCCAGGAGTGGTGGCTCCACCTTTTCCATTCCAGTGCCTGACCACCCTTTCCAGGAAGGAATTTTCCCTGATTTCCAACCTGACCCTCCCCAGGTACAACTCGAGGCCCGTTTCCTCTCCCCCTGTTGTTCCCCTGGGAGGAGATCCCGACCCCCACCTGTCTCCAGCCTCTCCCAGGGAGTTGTGAGGAGTGAGAAGCTCCACCAGCTGCTCCAGGAATTCCCACTGAGCTCGTTGGGATTGGGGAGGAAACAAGGCTTTGGGAGGAATCCCGGTGTTTCTGTGCACATCCCGGGGATTCCAAAGGCTGAAAAAGCCAGAGCTCTTCCCATGCCATCTCCCTGCCCCTGTTCTCCCTGGTTTTGGGGGGATGGAGCCACACTGATGGCAAAACAGGGGCAGCTCCTGCTGCCAAATCTCAGGGTCTTTCCCAGTTTTCCCCTTGTGCCGGAGAGGGGGATGTCTCCCAGTGGGAAGCTGAAGCCTGAGGTGAAGGGGGTTCCTCTGGGGTGCTGATCCAGGCACTGGGCTCCTTGGAAGTGCCAAAGGCTCTAAAAGCAAACAGCAATTCCTTGGGAGTTGGGATCAGAGGAACAACCCGGTGTCACTTCCTCCCCCCGCCCAGGGCGGAAATTCCTTCCCCTCCATAAAGGGATTTTCCGCCCTGCTCCAGGAGCTCCATTTGTGTTGAACAGGGCTGAGGAGAAGAACCCTCCTGACCTGCTTTATTCCCACTTGAAACTCTGTTTGGTTAAACAAAATCCTGGGATACCACCTTGGCACTTCACTTGGGAATACGGGATGGGGCACAGGGGCGTCCAAGCAACCCAAAATCAAGCGCAGAGGAGGCAGGGTTGGGTTTTCACCCCTGGTTCTTTGTTCTCCAGTTGTATTCAGGAATTCCAGCGGATCCTGGTGTTCCATTGCTGGAGTTGGTGTTGGATGGGGTGTGCTGGCTCCTGCTGTTCCTTGGGATTGTTGTTGTTGGCTCCTCCAGCTGCCAAGTGTTGAGCTGGATGCTTATCCCATACCGTAGCCACCCCTGGGAAATCCTATGGATTGGCAGGGAAAAAACTCCCTCATCAAACCAGCTGCTTGGAGGGAAGCAAACGGGGCAGGCAGAGGGGCTGGGAATGGGAATGGGGTAAAACCCAGCTGATTTGGGAAGAAACAGCAGGAATTTGGGAGCGTGTTTGCTGCGAGGCCCGGCCACACTTGTGCCATTCCACTTCCAGCTGCAAATCATCCCGCTCTGGAAGCGAAATTAAACCCGTGTCGGGCTCAAATCTGGCTCTGGGAGCTGGAGGAAAAACTTGGGAAGCTCAGCTTAACCCCCAGTGTTTTCCTGAGTTCTTTAAACCCAACCTCAGGTGTTCAGTTTGTCCCCCCAGCTGTGGCCGGTCCCTGCCCGAGCTGCCCCCGGTGCCGCTCGCTGGGGTTTGGGAGCCCAGCCCTGGGGTTTTTGGGGGCGTTGGGGTGGGTTTGGGGCCTCTCTGCTTTGGTAAAGCACAAGTGGTTTTGCTTCAGGCTCCGCTTGAGAGGTTGTGGTGGAGATTTTCGGGCTGGAGTGACCGTTTTGGGGCAGTTCAGCAGCAGATTCACAAACCCACAACCATTAAAGCAAGCACAGAGCTGACTTATTTCAGAAACGGGGGGAAAGTGGTTTATAGTGGATTTAAAAACTCCTTCTGTGGTGCAGAATAATCTGATTTAGTGCAGGGGGACGTGAGTTGCAGCTCTTGTGATGTGGTTTCAGCATAAGCCAGGCTGAGAAACGGCTCCAGAGCCTGTGATCCGTTCAGGATCTGTGATCCTGAACAATCAGGGTTAGGGAAAAAGAGGAAAACGAAATCATGGAACCTCAGACTGGTTTGGGGTGGAAGGGACCTTAGAGAGATCCCCTGGACCACGGCTGGGACACCTCCCACCAATCCAGGGTGCTCCCAGCAGCTGTGCAAGAGCACAGGCAGGCGGGTGATGGTGCCACTGGTGCCCACTGGTCTGTACTGGTGCAGACCAGAAGGGATCAGCTGAACCAGGGCGGGTTTGAGGCACTTTTGGAGCGTTTTGGGTGATTCTTTGTCTGGGATTGGAAAATAAACCCTCTGTAGGTTGGTGTCGCGAGGGAAACTCGCGGCTCAGCTCCTCCCCTGCTTCGTGCTCGTGCAGCCAGGGATGAGAACGGGCTCCCACCAGGCTCCTCCTCTCTCCAAAAAAGATTCCACATCTTTCAGCTTGGCAGCCTCGGCGTTCCAGCCCAGGGAAGCAGCAGCAGCGTGTGCTCCGCGCCCGGAGCAGCGCACGGAAGGACCCGGGCACACCTCGCCCCAAATCAGCCCCTGCAGATGCTGCCACACAGCTGCTTCTAGTGGGGAGGGTATTCCCCTGAGCCAGAGGGGCTTGGACAAAATCCTGGTTGATTTTTTCCCTGTTTGGTTTTTTTCTTTTTCCCCCCTCCTGTTCAGAAATGGCATCGGACGTTTCCTCGCTGGGCGCAGCCGTCGGCTCCGGGACCCCCGGATCGGGAGCCCAGCCCGGAGGGGCCGTGGCTCAGAGGGGCAGCAAGAGGAGACCTGGGTGAGTGTGTGCTCAGGGCTGTGCTTTTGGGGGAAAAGGGGCTTTTTGGAGAAGCTTTGGGCTGGGAAGAGCCGTCAGCCCTGGGAGGGGGAAGTGTGGCTGGTCCTGAGAAGTCTCCTGGCTCCTCCAAGGCTGGGATTTATCCAGCCCTTTCCTGCGTGGTGATACCTTTGGGCCAGATACACCCCTTAAATAGCAGGTTAAATTCCATCTCAAACAGGCATTGAAAGCTGAGTTGCACCTTGGAGGAGGAGCAAACACACAGCAGGGATTGAGAGCGAAACAGCAGCAACAGCAGCTGCTGCAGGATGTGGAGGAACAGGGAATCTGGATTTTGGGGCCTTACTCCAACCTTTGCAGCTGTGCCGTCCCTGGGAGGGGTGTGGGGAAGCCACAATGTGCTTGTGGGAGGCTTTTTGTTTGCTGAAAATGCCTTTGCAGATTCAAAGGGGCTGGAGTGGCTGTTCCCAGATTCCTGGCACGAGAAACGGCCTCGTAATTTTTTAAGCAAACTAAAATCTGTTCCCGGCCCTTCCCAGTCACTCAAACTCTTTCCTTCAGCCCCATTTGCTGGTGCTCCCAGTCCCCTGCAGCTCCTCCCACCCTCCCTGCTCCCCTGCATTCCCGGTTTTCCATCCCAGAAGGAAAGGTGGGAAATCCTTCCTGCTTGGCAGAGCTGGGGGTTTGGCCCTGTGTGAGCAAACAGGCACCAACTGAACTTTAACTCCAGGAAAGTTTTACCCTCTTCTGTTTTTTTTTTTTTATTTTAAATGCACCCAGTGCAGGCTTTTGAGCTGGGAATGCTCTGTTTGATGGTCTCTTGAGCGGCCTGGATGGCTCCCAGGAGATCCAGAGCTTTTTGGAACAGGAGGCTGGGATGCAGTGGGTGCTCCAAGCGACTTTTCTTCCTTTGGAACCGGTTTTCCTTGCTCTGTTTCTGATAGACACCTGAAGGAAACCCCTTTCCAGGCTTTGTGGGTTGTTTCACGTTAGGATCACTTAATTATTTTGGGAGTACTTAATTCTTCCTTTCAGGAATCATCTGCATCCATAAGGACAGACAGAGAAGCAACTTAAAGGAGACACCACTGGGTTAATAATGTTCTTCTTCCTTTTGTTTTTCAGGCTGGACTTTGATGATGATGGAGAAGGGAACAGTAAATTCCTCAGGTGAGGGAGAACGTGGCATCCACAAGTTTCTGTCCTATGGTCTTGGGGGTGTCTGTGTGTTTTCCCTGGAGCAGGATCTTGCTGCTCCCGTGGCTTTTCCTCCCTGGAAGCAGCGGGAAGTGGCTCCACTTCCTTCAACTCTTCCCTTTCTCCCAGTCAGCAGAAATCCCCCATCTCTGCAGCTTTTGTTGCTGCCTCAGCCACGTGTTAACTCCCCCTCATCTGTTGTAAGGATGCTTCAGCTCCAGAGGCATCCTTATTCCCAGGGAGCTGGCGGGGCTGCAAGGATCTCCTCGTGATCCATATGGAACACAGAAGAGCTGGAATGCCTTGGGTCGTTTATTTGTAGCCTCATTAAGTGGTTTAGGATTGAGTGATGAGACTGGAACTCCACGTGTTCCAGTGCTTTAAGGAGGGCTGTGGGATGGCTCCAGGATGAATGTAGGATTTACCTATGGAAGCCCCTGGGATGAAGGTCTTGATCTGGGTGACCTTCATCCTGCAAGTGCAGTTTAATATATTCCTTTTTATGGGATTGGGCTGAGTGTGATCCCCTCCCATCCCTGATAGGAATGTGGGGTGGAAAACCCCATGGAGGGGATGCCCAGAGCTCAGCCACGGGGTTTGGAGGAGACAACTGAACATTGCCCACTCACAGCCAAGTTTTTAACACCAGGCCCTCTTTGTTTGATTTATTAAACCTTGTTTTCTTCACGATTTTTTTTGAGAAAGAAGGAATTGTAAACCCTTTACCCTCTCCCCTTCTCCTAGATGTGACGATGACCCGATGCCAAACGATAAAGAGAGATTTGCCAGGTAAGGACTTGCTGGTTTGGAAGCTTTTTGTGCCCAAACCCCTTTGATTCAGGAGAGATCCTGCAGCACCTTTCTCACTGGCCGTTGGATCGTCTCCCCCTGAGGGTGCTCCAGAGGATCCACACGTTTTCCTTGATGGTTTTGGACAGTTCATGGAGTGTGATGAAGTGACATTGCTCTTTTGCACCGTTCCTTTCAGCTCTGGCCTCGGACTCTCCCTCTTTTCTCCTGCTCCAGGAACTCGCAGAGATACAAGTTTCCTGCTTAGTTACAAGTTGTCCTCGAACAGGGTTTCCTGGGGTTGTGTGCTTTATGGGGAATTGGGCAGAAGCTTTACAAATTGGGAGTTTCCCTGGAGATTGTAGGGAATGTTTTGGCTCTTGATGCCTTTTTGGTGTCTGACAGTAGCTCTGACATCCAACCTAAACCTCCCCTGGCACAACCTGAGGCCGTTTCCTCTCGTCCTGTTGCTATCTGGGAGAAGATCCCGAACCACCTCCGGCTCCAGCCTCCTTCCAGGGAGTTCCAGAGTGAGAAGGTCCCTCCTGAGCCTCCTTTTCTCCAGGCTGAGCTCCCTCAGGAGTTCTCCAGACCCTTCTCCTGGTGCTCCAGCCCCTTCCCCAGCTCTGTTCCCTTCTCTGGACACGCTCCAGCCCCTCAGTGTCTGTCTTGCCCTGAGCTGCCCCCAGCACTGGAGGTGCCCCAGCAGTGCCTAAATTGGGGGTCTCTGCCCTGCTGTTCCCTGCAAAGGGCTACAGGGAATTCCAAGCTGGGATTCTCCAGCTTTTTTAAGTGGTTTGAGTCATTCTGAAGCCAAGCAAGTTAGAAATACGTTAGAGAGAGTAGAATATTTCTAATATTAGAAACTGGTGAGCAAATTAGAACTCAGTAAATGTCTTAAAACTCCAACACACATCAGGCACCAATTAAATGTGGAGTATTGCAAACTAATGACTGTTTTATTTTATGGAACTGCTCCTCTGCAAAACAGACCTGTCCCTAGGCTGGGTTTCCTAGTCCATCTTTCCATTTTTATTTTTCCATTTCTTTCAACTTTTTTTCCATTTTTAGCTTAGCTGGCTGATTTTATTTTTAGGTCTGATGATGAGCAGAGTTCAGCGGATAAGGAGAGACTTGCCAGGTAGGAGAATGGAGATTTCCAGCATGGACAAGCAGAGTTTTCCTTTCCTTAATGTCTCTCTAGGCATCCCTTCTCTTTTTTTTTTCCCCTCCCCTTCTTCCCTCATCTGCTGCAGAGGACTTAACAGACTCCTGGAAACTGCTGTGGAATTGAAATTAGGAGGGGAAAGGCGTTTAGGAAAGGCACATCTCATCCTTGGGAGAGTGTTTTTAGGGAATGCACAGAAGGATCTATTTGCCAAAGGCCCCAGGGTTGGGCTCTTGCTTTCCCACCTGTGCTAAACACAGCTTCCCTCATCCTGCATCGAGGGCTCACCTGGGAAAGGTTTTGTGTCCCAGGAATGCTGTTGGACTCAGGGAACAGGCACAAAAAGGGGTGTTAGTTCAGGGACCTGTCGCTCTTTGATATTGTTCCACCCCAGACTTGTTCTGAAGCAAAGCCCAGGACTAAAGAGTCCATCCTGGGTGCTGAGAATGCCCCAGTTTTGGGCAGTTTGTTGCCCTCTGGCTGTGTTTGAACCCAAACCTGCCCCCCCAGGCAGCCTCTGGTGGCTGCAGTGTGCCTTGGGAGATCAGCAAGCCATGGAGGTGAGGCCTGGGAATACAGGGAAGCAGCAAAGCTTGCCAAGGGATTGTTCCCAGGAGCCTCTACTGAAGAATATCTCACAGAGCCATGGAATGGTTTGGGTTGGAAGGGACCTTAAAGCTCATCTCGCTCCTGGCAGGGACACCTCAAAGGTGAGGTCACTGAAGGAATTAGAGGGGAGGCCACTGAGTGTTTACACACACCTGGTAGTGAGAAACGCTCCATTTTTGTATTTATCCTCTTTATTCACCTGCCTGTCCTTGTTCCTTCCAACACCTCCATCTCATTTCACTTCCCACCGTGTGCCTCCTTGCACCCGATCCATCCTCCTGTACAGGAAACCTGGCTCTTGAGCTCTGTTTTGGAACACCCACCTTAGGAACCCAGTTAATTGACGTGCTCTGGATAAAAAGAAGCAGGTTCTGGTCTGTGGGGTTGATGGGGGCTGCGCCCTGTGAGCCAAAGGGGTGCCAAGAACCTCTTTGAGGGGGCAGGAATCGCCGTGGTGTCTCTTTAGAGGTTGTTGTTGCCTGGCCCGTGGGCTGCCCGGGTTGATCTGTGCAGAAATCAGGTGTGACCTGCTCTCAAATTTCCCTCCTGGGATTCTGTGAAAGGCTCTCGGTGTAAGAGGGAAGTGTCTTCCCCAAAGCACCACGAGATGAGACTCAGCTGATGGAGGTTCCTCAGAATCCTGGAATGGTTTGGGTTGGAAGGGGCCTTAAAGCTCCTCCAGTCCCACCCCCTGCCATGGTCTGGGACACCTCCCGCTAGCCCGGGTTGCCCAGAAGAGCAGTTGCCCCAGTTTTAGCTGCAGCCGAGCTCTGGGTGTGCGAGGGGTGATGGTGGAGGGGATCTCAGGGATCTCCTCCATCCTGGGATGGACGGTGGGGCTCAGTCCCCCTCACCTGCACTGCTGAGAGCAGAGGAGGAATCCCTTTGGCTTCCTGCACGCTGTGGAGTGGAGTGGGAAGCCAAACCAGCTGCTGCTGGTCCCGGGGAGCCGCTGTGACTCCGAGCAAGGTCCTCAGCCCAGAAGGTCCAGGTGTAGCCTCTCCCCTCGCCCTCGTCCCCGCTCCCTGTGCACGCCCAGCATGTGAGCCTTCCTTCCTGCTAACCCGGCGGTGCATCTCCGTGTGTGGCACCCGTGCCAGCCTTCCCACAGTGACTTCATCCTCCTCCTCCTCCTCTTGTGTCCCCCCGTCCCCCCCCCGGGGCTCCTGCAGGGAGAACCACAGCGAGATCGAGCGCAGGAGGAGGAACAAGATGACCGCCTACATCACGGAGCTGTCGGACATGGTGCCCACGTGCAGCGCCCTGGCCCGCAAGCCGGACAAGCTGACCATCCTGCGCATGGCCGTGTCCCACATGAAGTCCCTGCGCGGCACCGGCAACACCTCCACGGACGGCACCTACAAACCCTCCTTCCTCACCGACCAGGTCAGGGCTGGGCACGGAGCCGTGGAAGGGGGCGGGTTGGGAGGGACCTCAGAGCCCGTCCCACTGCACCAGGTTGCTCCAACCTGGCCCTGAACACTTCCAGGGGTGAGGGGGCTTCTCTGGGTGACCTGTGCCAGGGCCTCGCCACCCTCACAGGGAAGAATTCCTTCCCGAAATCCCACCTAACCCTGCCCTCTGGCAGCGTACAAACCATCGCCCCCTTAAGGTCCTGGAAGGCCACAGTGAGGCCTCCCTGAAGCCTTCTTGGCTTGATGCTGGGAAATACAGCACTCAGAGGGGAAAGTGAAACTATGGCGGGGCGGGAACGGGCAAAACCCAGGGCGGGGGTTTGGCCGTGGAGCTGAGGGGTGTCCGTGTGTCCACAGGAGCTCAAACACCTGATCCTGGAGGCAGCCGACGGCTTCCTGTTCATCGTGTCCTGCGAGACGGGGCGGGTGGTCTACGTGTCCGACTCCGTGACCCCCGTCCTGAACCAGCCGCAGTCCGAGTGGTTCGGCAGCACCTTGTACGACCAGGTGCACCCGGACGACGTGGGCAAGCTGAGGGAGCAGCTCTCCACCTCCGAGAACGCCCTCACAGGTACAGCCCCCCGGGGGCAGCGCAGGGCTGGGAGCGGGCAGAGCCCGGGAGGACTCGGATTAAACCCTTCCCTTTGTAGAAGGAACCAAACCCTGGTGCCTTTCTACCAAGGATGCCGCAGCCCCCCCCGAGAATGCATCTAAAGGTACCACACGGAGACACTCGTGCCCTGCCAGCCTCCCACTTCGATTCCTGGAGCCACACCTGTGCCGGGGGAAGGACTCCCAGTGCAGCAGCATCCCCTTGTTCCTCCCTTTCCTAGGTCGGATCCTGGACCTGAAGACGGGCACTGTGAAGAAGGAGGGCCAGCAGTCCATGAGGATGTGCATGGGCTCGCGGAGATCCTTCATCTGCCGCATGAGGTGGGAAGCAATTCCCTGGGGGAATCTCTGAGCCTCCAGCTGAACTCGCTCCCTGGCCCCTCCACGCTTTTATTTCAGCTTTTTTTGGCTGGTTTTGATGTAAAATGATAGAACGTGGCTGAGCTTCCCATACAGCCAAGTTCTTGAGGTATTTCTTTGCCCTGTTGTGCAAGATCCAGTTTAAAGTAATAATTAGTTTTGGCCCCCCCGCGTCACCTCCCTTGAATTCTTCAGCGTGAGGGCTTTGTGTGATGGAAATTCAGACGTTCTTCCCCCTTGGTAGGGGATGAACCTTCCTCTTCTTCAAGATACCCAAGATTATTTTCGTGTTGCCCATGAAAGATAAATCCTTTGCCCTCCTTTTCCTACCCCTGGTGCAGGTGTGGCAACAGCTCCGTGGATCCAGTGGCTGTGAACCGTCTCAGCTTCATGAGGAATCGCTGCAGGTAAATAACACCTGTAGTACAAATAACAGATTTATATAAATAACACATACATAAGTAATACAAAAACCCCCTGCTTTTGCTTCACCTTGCCCCACTTGAACCCGCAGCACAACCTGTTTGTCTCTCCCAAGGAATGGCTTAGGTGCAGCAAAGGATGGAGAACCTCACTACGTCGTGGTGCACTGCACTGGCTACATCAAAGCCTGGCCCCCAGCAGGTGAGGGCTCACCTCAGGTGTTCAGGGGGGGCTGCTTTTAAAAGCACTGAAAGTGGCCCAAAGTTGCCAATTCCAGGAGCTGAACGTGCCAGGAGACGTTTTGCAAACGTTATCTGTCGCTTTTATTTGAAGATTGAACTGATTTTTGCAAGCGCAGCATCAGAGATCTCTGTCTGTAGAGGGTGGAAATAATATTAAACTGTCTGAAATTTAGAGATTTTGAACCCTTCTGGTGATAAGAGGGAGGGGGAGACACCTTAATGTTCCAAATCCCTTGGTGGGGAAGGATATTGAGTTACAAGGAGGGGTGGAGAGGTGTTTTGAGGTCTGTTTCCTGTGAAATGAGCAGTTCTTCCTGCATTAACCCTGCTGGAATTTTTGGCCCCCCCTTCCCAGGTGTTTCCCTGCCTGACGACGACCCCGACGCCGGCCAGGGCAGCAAGTTTTGCCTGGTGGCCATTGGCAGGCTCCAGGTGAGTGTCCCCTTCACCTCCTCCAGCATCTCCTTGTCCTGGAAGCCCCCAGATTGGGACTGTTCCGCGTGAAAACATTCCCTGGTGGCCACAGAGCCCGGCGCGGGGCTGGCATTGCCAACGCTGCCCGTGTCCCCCTGCCAGGTGACCAGCTCTCCCAACTGCACAGACATGAACAACGTGTGCCAGCCCACAGAGTTCATCTCCAGGCACAACACCGAGGGCATCTTCACCTTCATCGACCACCGGTGCGTGGCCACCGTTGGCTACCAGCCCCAGGTGAGCGCCCCGAGGGGCTCTGTGACCCAAAACTGCTCCTCAGACTTTCTTCTCCTTCCACATCTCGGCTCTGCTTTCACACAGAGCTGCTCAGCCACACCCAGGGCTTAACCCAGACGTGTTTCTTCTCCACCAGTTGCTTTGCCATGTGTTTTTCCGAGCCCTTTGATCGTGGGAAGGCTGGGTGGCTCTGGATTATGTCAAATGTCAATTAAAGCCTTTTTTGCCTTAAATTGAGTTAAAGATCAAACATTAATCAACAGCTGTCGGGCTTCTCTTCAAGAAACAGCACGCCAGGCCCTGTGCTTGGGTTGTGTAATGGGGATCTGGGGGGGAAGGAGCAGGAACTACCTGTCCAAAGCAGGATTAATTGTGGAATCTGCCTGCCAGATGAACTGACTCGATCTCTCTCACGATTCCCTGAAAATCAGGAACTTTTGGGGAAAGACATTGTGGATTTCTGCCATCCAGAAGACCAACAGCTTTTACGGGACAGCTTTCAGCAGGTAAAAAACATTGGAGCTACCCTTTGCATGCAGGGTGGGACTCAGGTTGGGACTGAGGTTGGAATTCAGATTGGGACTGAGGTTGGAATTCAGACTGGGACTGAGGTTGGAATTCAGACTGGGGCTGAGGTTGGAATTCAGACTGGAATGCCTCGGTGCTTGCAAAACAGCAAAAAATTAACTGGAAAACCGAGAGGAAAAATAAACCTTAGATAATTCTCCTTTGCAAACAGATCAAGTCATGTAGTTAAATACAGAACAAACCAGAAGCATCTGATGTCTTAACTCCTGAATCCCTGCTCTGGCTGCTGGTCCAGGCTGCCTTTAGGGCCAGGGATGTGGCTCCCAAGGGCCTGCTTGACTTGCTGTGCTCCTGTGGCTGAAACCCTGGTTCATCTCTAGGGCCCAGCCCAGTGCTGCAGAACCCGAAATGGAGGTGGTTTTCTTGCCCTGTTATTTCTGAGGGCCTTGGACTGGTGGCAGGGCAGGTAAGGCTGCCCCTGTGCTTTCATGACTCCAAAAACCAGCTGCTCATATCCATTGCTCCAAACCGTTGGAATCGGAGGCGACAGCATGTGTTCCATTTCTTGGAGGCTTTTTCATACATCCCACCAGTGCAAAGGCATAGGAGGAGTGAAGCCAAAAAGGGGATTTTTAGATTCCCCTCCTGTATCCTTTGGGAATCAAGGTGTCCTGAGGGAATGGTGCCATTTAGTTTGGGAAGGCTGAGATGTGCCAGGTTTGAGGCAAAGGGCCATCGCGGGGGTTTCGGGGGGTGGCTCTTGCTCAGGTTGCTCCTCAACACCCTTGGTCAGGTGCTACTCCTGGAATTCCTGGGGTTTTTTTTTTCAGGTGGTGAAGTTAAAAGGCCAGGTTCTGTCAGTCATGTTCCGCTTCCGATCCAAAAACCGGGAATGGCTCTGGATGAGAACCAGCTCCTTCACCTTCCAGAACCCCTACTCAGACGAGATCGAGTACATCATCTGCACCAACACCAACGTCAAGTATGTGCATGGAAAGATGACCTGCCTGGGGGGGCTCCCATCCCAGGATAACCGTGGGAGCCTTGGCCTCTCCCCCTCTCCAAACTTCCCACCGCTTTGCACAACCCTGGAGAAGTTCCCAAGTCCCTCGAGCTCCCGTTTCCTGGGCTGTGCCAGGCACTGGAGGACTTAGAAAGTGCAGGAATTGAAGTGTCTTTGGCTGTCCTGTTGTGTGGCTTAACAAGCTGCCAAAATTCAGCTCCAGCAGTGCCTGAAGCCAGTGAAATCTGCCTCAGAATGTGGCTCTTGGATTGCTGTGACAGTCCAGGAGGTTACATATCCTTTGGGAATGGTGGGAGCTGCTCTCTCTTCCCGTGAGGGAGCTCCAGGCCTCTTACACAAGAGCAGCAGAGCCCCAGAATTCGTGCCTGTGTGTGTGATGTGGAGCTGCAGCCCTGGCAGGGGCAGCCACTGGAGTCTCCAGCAGGCAAACAGGAGGCTGGATTGCTTGGGAAAGGGAAACCCAGGAATCTGCTGCAGGCCCCATGTCAGAGCTGCCCCTTTGAACTCCTTCATTCCACACACAGCCATTCCCACATCCATAATGCACCTCCCAAAGTCCCTGTGGAGCAGCAGTGTCTGTGCCTGGTTGTGTTTGAGGGGTGTTTTGTTCAGGGGCAGCTCTCCAGGTTGCATGTGCTGCTTCATCTTCAAGATCAGGGGCTGCTGAAGCAGCAGCTTCCAAAAGAGACCCAGAAAACGCTGGATTTTTGTTAATTTATGGTGGGATTTAAGCATTTCACTGGGTTCTCACAGTTCACAGAAGAGCATAAAGAACTTGCTCCACGTTTTGGGCTTAAAACCTGAAACTACTGGTGGTCTCTGAGTGTCTGACAGAGCTAAACTTCAAGGGTTTGGAGGTTCCCACAGCCTTTGCTTGTGCTTTAGGGATGCTGCAGGTCCAGCCACGCTCCTGGTGCACGTTTTTAATTGCTCAGGGACTGAGCGTGGGAGGCACAGCCCCCACCTCTGGAGCATCCCATTGCACGGCACCTCCTTCCAGGGAAAAGATCCTTCCCTCAGACAGGGGTTTACGTCTTGCCCCAGGCAGCCACACCCAGAACCCAACTTTGCTTCCAGCTGGGATTTTTTTTGAACCTTTTCTTTTTTTTTCTCCCTGTGTTTGCTTTGAAGGAACTCGAGCCAGGAGTCCCGGCCTGCCCTGGCAAACTCTCTGCCGAGGCCCCAGCTGGGGCAGAGCGTCAGCCTCCCCCTGGACATGGGCACAGCCCCACTGCCCTCAAGGTCAGGAGGTGCTCAGCTCCTTTTCCCATTTCTACCCTGCTGTCACACCCCCCTCCATCCCCAAATCCCCCTCTGTGCAGCCGGGAACTCCAGGCTGATGAACCCCTGGCATGACCACACGGAGCTGATCCCTTGGGAATTCTCTCTGGCAGGCTGTGTTCTCCTGTTACAGACTCTTTCTATTTTAGGCAGCAGCAGCCCCCCCAGGCAGAGCTGGAAGTGGGCCCGGGAAGGGAGAGCCTGGCTGGGTATGAGCACTCCCAGGTGAGTCCTCCCCAGAGGAGGGGTTTGTTGTCCTGCTCGTTGTCCTGCTCTTTTCCTGTCCTGTTCTGTTCTTTGGGGGTTTAAAGGTGCTGGCACGAGGTTCAGGTGGGTCTGAGGGGAGGGTGTTTCTGCCCTTGGGTGTTGCTGGATCTGCTGCTTGATCCCAGTATTTATCATGTGGAATTGTAGAGTCATGGGATGGGGTGGGTTGGGAAGGACCTTAAATATCATCCGGTTCCACCTCCTGCCGTGGGCAGGGACACCTCCCTGGTTGCTCCAAGCCCTGTCCAGCCCGGCCTTGAGCGTTTCCAGGGATCCACAGCTTCTCTGGGCAGCCTGCCCTGCTGTGCCAGCCCTGACTGGCCACGTTATCCCAATAAAACACCGGAATCCCGAGCGCAGCCCGGCCCTCAGCCCTTCTCCGTGCTGATTCCCGCTGTGCTGAGGAGTGACAGGTCCCTGTCCCTGCTCCAGGTCCCTGTGCAGCCCGTGAGTGCTGCAGGCCCAGAGCACAGCAAGCCCCTGGAGAAGGCAGAGAGCCTGTTCAGCCAGGAGAGGGACCCACGCTTCGGGGAGATCTTCACCGGGATCAGCACAGGTGGGTGAGCAGGGCTCTCCTGGGCTGCTCCTCCTGCCTGCCCTGAGCACCTCCTTCCTGCCTCTTCCCAGGCTGTACTGGATGCTCCAACCCCAGGGAACCTTCATGCAGGTTTATTAGAAAGTGGAGGGGAAATCAAATTAAACAGGGGTTAAGAAAATCATCTGGAGTTGTGTCTGGAGAAGGAGCAAAGGAGTCCTCCTTCCCAGGGACACGTCTCTTCCAGCTGGTTCCCTGTTGCCAGCCCCAGAATGTCTCGTGCTCTCTCTGCAGACCAGAGCAAGGCCCTCCCTGCCAGCACCGTGCCAGCCAACCCACCCCTCTTCTCCCAGGGAAACACCTTCACTGCTGCACGGCCCCAGGAGAACTTCAGGTGAGGCTTCGCCTTCCCACTTCCCACCTCCATTCCCTCTGTTGCATCCCTGTGCCTCCTGGGCGTGCCCAGGACCTGGGCTGGGTGAGGGCAGCCTTGCCCAGGACACCCAGCTCCACCCAGCAGCTCCTCCCAGTAGTGTCCCAGTATAGAATCATGGAATCATTTAGGGTGGAAAAGCCCTCTGAGATCATCCAGTCCAACTGTTACTGCCCAGTTCAGCACTAACCCCTGTCCCAGGTGCCGCATCCACACGTTCTTGGAACACTTCCACCCTTCCCAGGGCGGCCTGATGGGCAGAGTTACCCCCCCAGTTGGGCTCATTTCCCTCCCCCAGTAACTCAGGCAGACAGATTTAGCGCCTCTCCCTCCTGCAACGCTCTTCCCCGGGCTCAGACTCCTCTCCTCCCCCAGGAGCAGCAGCATGGTGCCTCCAGTGAACATCATCCAGCAGCAGCCGTCCCCCGCCGGCCGGATCTTATCCCAGATTTCCCGGCACTCCAGCCCAGCTCAGGTCAGCGGGACCACGTGGGCTGCAGGGACACGCCCGGTGTTCACACCCCAGGTAGCACAGCCCGAGCCCTCAGCTGCAGGGTCCCCGCTGCCTTCAGACCCCGCTCTCCGTGGGGGATCATCCCGCTCCCGGCGCCGCGTGTCCGTGGGCTTCCTCCTCTGGGGCTACTCCGGCGACTCGCTGCCGAGCCGAGGGCCGGGGGAGATCCATCCCTCCTCCTCCTCCTCTCCCGTGTTCTTCCTCTCTCACAGCAAGTGGCGTCGCAGCCGGTGAAGACTCGGCCGCCCTCCTTCGGCATGGGGACATTCCAGGGCACCCCGTCCTCCTTCAGCTCCATGACGGCCCCGGGATCCACGGCCTCTCCCACCGCGGCGCCGTACCCGGCCCTGGCCGGCCGTGGCTCCGGCTTCAGTGAGTGTGGCTGAGGGAGCTGGGGGCACCCCGTGGGTACAGCTGGGCTGGGATGTGCTCTCCAGGGGGTTTTGGGGGGGTTTGGGGGAGCTCCCAAATGTGGAGAGCAGAGCTGGATCCCTCCTTTGACTGGTCACTCTTAATCCCCCTCCAACCACAGAGCTGGGCTCAGTGATCCTTGTGGATCCCTTCCAGCTCAGGAGGATCTGGGATCGTCCCAGCAGATGAATTTTGAACCGTGTCAAGGCTGACTGGGAGGAAACAAACCCCCTCTGGGCGTCCCTTTGTTCTGCCCCGTGGCAACAAACCCACGGCAGGAATTCCTGTAGGGTGACCCTCCCGGGGCACCACCCAGAGCTGTGCCCTTCCCAGTGCCACACAGTGCTCCTGGAGAAGCCCAGGAGCGCTGCCCTGACTGTGTTGTGTGTCCAGCAGGCACGGAGGCAGCGCAGACCCCGGCCCCGTTCCAGCCCCGCGCCGCCGACGCCGTGGGAATGTGGCCCCAGTGGCAAGGGCAGCACCACGGCCCCGGATCCGGGGAGCAGCACGTGCAGCAGCCCCAGCCCAGCCAGCCTGAGGTCTTCCCAGTAAGATGGGGCTTTTTAACCTCCCAAATCCGGTGGGGTCCACCTGGAGCTTGTCCCTCTGGTTCAGATCAACTGGGGAGGTCCCAAGCTTCGGGATAACCTGATGGAGGTGGAAGTGGAGAGGGCAGGACTTGGCTTTGTGTCTCGGTCTGTTGCAGGATCAGTGTGAAATTCCAGTTGGATTAACCCTTCTGGTTCTAATTGATAACAGAAGAAAAGCCCCAATCCAATAAAATTAAGATAATTCCTGAGAATTCCTTTCCCAGGAGTCGCCGATTATCCCTTAAATTTGCTGCTCCTTAAATTTGCCCTGGGCACAGACCCTGTGTTCCCTTGGGAAAAGGACCATCTTGGTCCTCAGTACCTGCTCCAGCAAACCCACGAGTAAATTGCCAACATGATCATGGAATCATGGAATTGTTGAGGTTGGAAAAGCCCCTGAGATCAAGTCCAACTGTTCCCCCAGCAGTGCCAAGGCCACCACTAAACTGTGTCCCCAAGTGCCACAGCCACATATTTTTGGACAGTCCCAGGGGCAGCAACTCTCCCACATCCCTGGGCAGCCTGTTCCAATGCCCAGCCATGCTTTCCATGGAGAAATTGTCCCGAATTTCCAATCCAGACCTCCCGGGCACCACTTGAGGCTTGGTTTGGTGCCTGATATTCCCTGATATTCCCGTGCAGATCCTGACTCTGTCCTTGTCTCCTCCTCTCAGGACATGCTGACCATGCTGGGAGACCAAGGGCCCAACTACAACAACGAAGAATTCCCAGAGTTGAACATATTCCCTTCTTTTTCCGAGTAAAACAAGCCTTAGGGGAGACACCCTAAAGCTCTACAATATCCACGTGTAAAGGAAAACAGCCGAGTCTTTCTCTCCAAGAACTGTCCAAACTCTTCCCACCCTCTGGAAGGGGAGCTCCGAGGATGGGTGGCCGTGGAGGAGGAGGAGGAGGAGGAGGATGGTGTGGTTTGGACACCTCCTCCCTGGGGGATTGTTCTGGAAGCTCCAGGACCTGAGTGCCACGAGACCGAAGGCCCCCGTGTTCCCAGAGCCGCTCCCAAGTGGATTTCCGTGGGAGGGATTCCTGGCTGGATCTCAGACAGCCCTTCCACGCTTTTTAAGGTGGCTGTGACTGGTTTGATTTCACTCTCTGCCGTGACTTTTTTTTTCTATCAAACACAAAACTCTTGAGATTTTTAAGTATTTGGGAGAAGCTCTTCCAAGCGTTCTCCCTGTCAATACAATCCTGGAGGATGCTTGAGTAAGAATCCCCGTCCTGAGCCGGCGTTTTCCTCCTTTTTGGAGGGATTTTGGCTGGTCTTGGAGGGTTGTTACCACGTCTCCAGCCCAGGGTGCTCCACGTGGAGATTCCCACGGTTTGTTTGGGATCTTCCCTCTCCTGTGAACTGTGCAATGAAGTCAGTGTGACCCATAACCCCCCTCCCCCCCCCCGTTATCCCGGGATAATTAACGAGCCATAAAAATATTATCCATGTAGCTTTCTTCTGGATGCATCAATTTTCCAGCTGGTGGGGTTCTGTGCTGCCACAAATTGATGTCTCAACAGGTTTTTTGGGGGAAGAAACCTGCCCCACGCTGTCCATGGAATTTTATCCCATGGAGAGGAGTTCCTTGTTGTCGTCTGGACGTAGGAGAATCCCTGGATTTCATCAGGGAATTGCTGAGGAACTGTGTATTTTCACTACATTTGCTCACTCACCGTCTCCTTAAGGAAGAATTCCTGCCATGGGATGATCCTGTTGCCAAACCACAAACTGTAAGAGGAGAGCTGGAAAAGTAGGGAACAGAGTGATTTTTTTTTTTATATATATATATATATATAAATATATATAAAATTTTTAATTTTTAAACCTTGACTTGGAATCTTCTGGCTTTTTCTGTGGGGAAAAAAAAAAAAACAAAACAAAAACAAACAAACCAACTTGTGACCAATCCTGCTCTCCTCAGGGGCTGGAAGAACAGTTTGATTCCCTCTTGCTTCAATTCCAGCAGGAAAATTCATTGCTGAGTTGGACTTGGAAGGAAACTTGGCACAGCAGCAGCGCAGGGGAAGAATTCCAAGTTTTCCTGGAAGCCTGGTTTTGTTTTCAATGGAATGTGGGTGTCTCTCCCTTTTCCCTGCATGTTGGGAGGGGGCTCTGGGGACCCCCAGGGTGGTTGTGAGTGTCCCCTCTCTGCTGGTTTGGGGCAGGGAAGGGGGAGATTCCACCCCCACAAGAGCTGATTCCAGAGCTGTAATTCCTGGATAACATCCACGGAGGGAAGTGTGAAACCTTTGTGTCACCAGCCCAGAGATTCCTCCTGTGAGTGGAGCAGGAAGCTTTGCTTTTCCCTCTCCTTTTGTTGGAAAAGTAAGATTTGAAAGCTTTAGGCTTATTTTTTTTGGTTTTGTTTTTTGGGGTTTTTTATTCCAAATTTATCTGCGGAAAAGTGGGAACATCCCACTTGGAGCCATCCTGTGACCCACCCCTGTCCTGTGATCCAGGGACTTTTCTCCCAGCAAGATCCTCCTCCCCAGTCACATCCTGGGCCCTCCCCCTTGAGCTGCCAGAGGAGGAGGAGGAGGAGGAGGAAAATTCCCATTTCCCGGAGCTTTTGTGGATGACTCGAGTGTAAACACCCCCCCCCCTCCCCGCTTTTCCAACTCCTGGGAGAAGAAAAGCAGCTGGAGCAGCCCAAATCCCTTGGGAGGGGCTGACAGGGGTGGGACACAGCTTTGGCCCTTCACCCCCCTTTGGGAACTGCATTGTTTGTCCCTGGGGGGGGATTTTATTGAACAATCACTCGGGGGGGGGGGCAGGATCCAAACCCCCCTCGGGATGTGTCCCAATCCCGGATTCCTCATCCCGGGAATTCTGGGCAGCAGAGATTTTTACAAGAGATTTTTTTTTTCCCCTTTTTCAAAGCTTTGTCTCATTTCTGCCTCTCTCTGTCCCCCCCCTCAGAGGACTGTGGCCCCCAAAACCCCTGTTCCCTCAGTTTGGCCCCCTAAGCCTCCATCCTCCCCCGCTTTGGCCCCCCCAAACCCCCATTTGACTCCCCTGGATTTGCCCCCCCCCAATCCTCATCCCCTCCTTTCTCCCCCTAAATCCCCATCCCCCTGATTTGACCCCCCTACAACCCCTGTGCCCCCCCTGCTTTGGTCCCCCATAACTCACATCCATCCCCCCACTTTGGCCCCCCCAAACCCATGTCCCCCCCATTTGTCCCCCAAACCCTGTCCCCTCTCCAAGTTTGACCCCCCAAACTCTGCTTGTCCCCCCCATTTGCCCCCCTAAACCCCTGCCCACCCGTTTTTCCCCCCCAAAACCCCCTTTTCCCCCCCTTTTTGCCCTGCCCCCGGTGCCCCCAGTGCCCCCAGTGCCCCCAGTCACACACGGCCACGTCAGGGCCTCGTGCTCGGGGCGATGATTCTGTGCTGGAGCCCCAGGGCTGACTCAGCCCCCCCGGGCCGGGTCACACGGGGGGTGACCCCTCTCTCGGGGACCCCCCTGGGCAGGGGGTGACACGGGGGGGTGTCGGGGGGGCTCCAGCCTGACCCCCTTCCCCCTTGGTGCTGCTCCATGCCCTCTGCTCTGCCCTGTCCCAGCCTGGTCCCAGGACGGTCCATCCCGGTGCCCGCGGCCGGACGGTGACGGTGACGATGATGATGATGATGATGATGTCGATGTCCCCACGCCTGGCACAGGGCACTGGTGCCACCGGGACCTTCCACCCTGTCCCGCAGGAGCCGCGTGACGGAGGGGACGGTCCGGGCAGAAAGCACCGTCTGGGCCCCCCCTTCCCCCTCGGGGGCCAGCCTGGGACCCCCAAACTGGGCACACGGGGGGGGCCTGCCTGGGTTGGGGACACTGGGGACAGGGATGGGCCCCTGTGCTCTGCTCCTGCTGTCACAGGATGCCCCCGATGCCCCCGAGCTGCCGTGTCCGGCCTCTCCTGGAGGCGGGGGGTGCTCAGCCCCCTCACCCCAGGGTGCCGGGGGGGATCGGGGGGCCCCAGGAGCACCAGTGCCCTGTCCTGCCCAGCTGTGGGGAGGACTCGGGGTCGAGGAGGTGTCCCCAGGGCAGGAGGTGTCCCCAAGGTGTGATGGTGGGGCAGGAGGACATCCCTGGGACCGGGATCCTGGGGGCAGGAGGGTGTCCTGGGGCAGGGTGGTGGGGTGGGACACCCCTGGGGCAGGAGGATGTCCCTGGGACCGGGATCCTGGGGGCAGGAGGGTGTCCTGGGGCAGGATAGTGGGGTGAGACACCCCTGGGGCAGGAGGGTGTCCCGGGGGCAGGGTAGTGGGGTGGGACACCCCTGGGGCAGGAGGATGTCCCTGGGACCGGGATCCTTGGGGCAGGAGGGTGTCCTGGGGCAGGAGGGTGGGGTGAGACACCCCTGGGGCAGGAGATGTCCCTGGGACCGGGATCCTGGGGGCAGGAGGGTGTCCTGGGGCAAGATAGTGGGGTGGGACACCCCTGGGGCAGGAGGGTGTCCCGGTGTGGGACAGTGGGGCAGGAGGATGTCCTGGGGCAGGGTGGTGGGGTGGGACACCCCTGGGGCAGGAGGGTGTCCCGGTGTGGGACAGTGGGGCAGGAGGATGTCCTGGGGCAGGATAGTGGGGTGAGACACCCCTGGGGCAGGAGGGTGTCCCCGCTGTGGGACAGTGGGGCAGGAGGGTGTCCCGGGGGCAGGAGGGTGTCCTGGGGCAGGAGAATGTCGCTGGGACGGGGATGTCGCTGGGACAGGGGTGTCCCCAGGACAGGACCCAGCGGCAGCAGCCCCGCGCCGGGGCTGACTCAGCCCGTCCCTGCAGCATCACGTGAAGCCGGGGCAGCCCCCCCGTCCCCCCTCCCCGTCCCCTCGATCCCTCCCCCTCCCCATCCAGACCCGACGCCTGCCCAAATTTTCCGGCTGCCTCCGAACTTCCTCAATCGATCCAGCGGGATAAAAGCGCAGCAGCCCCGGCCCGGCACTCCCAGTGCTCCCAGTTCTCCCAGTGCTCCCACCGACGGCTCCATGCTGGGGTAAGAGCCCTGAGGGGGAGGCGGGAGGGGGTCCCAGGGCTGGGCAGGAGACCCAGTGGGGCGGTGGGAGGCTTTTTCCCCAGGGAAACGGATCCCAGTGGGAATGGGAGGGAAGAGGGTCCCATGTGGGACCCTTAGAGGCACAAAGGGGGACACCGAGGCAACATCACGTCTGGGGGGGCTGCGGGCTGGTGTCCCTGTCCCTGCTCCCCCACAGGGCTCTGGGTGCTGGGAGCCGATGGGTGAAGCCAGGGAGGGGCAGGAGGGCTGGGCCCCCCCCCGTCTGCTCCCCCTGCACCCCAAAGTTTGGTTCTCCACGGTTGGGAGCTGCCGGGAAGACACGGACTCTGTAATGGGAACCAGCTGGGCCGGTTCATGTGACGCCGGCGCCCGGCCAGCGCTGCCACGGGGGGGTCCTGGCCCCTTATCAGGGTGGGCGGGGGGTCTCAGACCCCCAGATCAGGCTGGGAAGGGTGTCCTGGACCCCAACTAGGCTTGGCAGGGGGGCCCAGCCCCAAATCAGGCTGGATAGGGGTTCCAGCCCCAAATTAGGGTGGGCAGGGTGTTCCAGACCCCAACCAGGGTGAGAAGAGGGGCCCAGTCCCCAGTTAGGGTGGCAGGGGGGGCCCAGCGCCCCAAACTAAGGTGGGAAGAGGATCCCAGCCCTGAGTCAGGGTGTGCAGGGGGCCGTGGCCCTAAGACAGGGTGTGCAGGGGGGTTCTAGTCCCAAAGGAGGGTGGGCACAGGGGCCCAGCCCCCCATACCTGATATGGGGGTGGGCACAGAGTCCTGCCCACCCCCAGCCCCCCGGCTCAGTGTCTGCCCCATTCCCAGTGCTCAGCTGGTCCCCAGGATGTGGTGTCTGCTGGCCCTGCTGGTCCCCGTGGCCCTGGCCCAGTTGCACCCGGAGCCAGAACTGGACGCGCAGTGGGAGCTGTGGAAGAAAACCCACCGCAAGCAGTACAACGGCCAGGTAGGACAGGGACCCTGGGGAGGGGGGCTCTGCCAGCTGGGGACCCCCAGGATGGCCCCAGGGTGGGACACTGGGGCAGGAGGATGTTCCCAGGGTGGGACACTGGGGCAGGAGGGTGTCCCTGGGGCAGGAGGATGTCCCCAAGGTGGGACACTGGGGCAGGATGATGTCCCCAGGGTGGGACACTGGGGCAGGAGGATGTCCCTGGGGCAGGAGGATGTCCCCAGGGTGGGACACTGGGGCAGGAGGATGTCCCTGGGGCAGGAGGATGTCCCCAGGGTGGGACACTGGGGCAGGATGATGTCCCCAGGGTGGGACACTGGGGCAGGAGGATGTCCCTGGTGCCAGAGGATGTCCCCAGGGTGGGACACTGGGGTAGGAGGGTGTCCCTGGTGCCAGAGGATGCCCCCAGGGTGGGACACCGGGGCAGGAGGGGGAAGCTGGGGCAGGAGGATGCCCCCAGGGTGGGACACTGGGGTAGGAGGGTGTCCCTGGTGCCAGAGGATGTCCCCAGGGTGGGACACCGGGGCAGGAGGGGGAAGCTGGGGCAGGAGGATGTCCCCAGGGTGGGACACTGGGGCAGGAGGGTGTCCCTGGTGCCAGAGGATGCCCCCAGGGCAGGGGGCACAGGCAGGACCCCCCTGCCCAGCTCCATCTCGCCCCGTGGCACAGGCAGACGAGGTGACACGGAGGCTGATCTGGGAGAAGAACCTCAAGTACATCAACACCCACAACCTGGAGCACACGCTGGGCGTCCACACCTTCGAGCTGGCCATGAACCACCTGGGGGACATGGTGGGTGTCACTGGGGGCATGGGGGGGTCACTGGGGGCATGGGGGGTGTCACTGGGGACATGGGGGGTGTCACTGGGGGCATGGGGGGTGTCATTGGGGGCATGAGGGTGTCACTGGGGGACATGGAAGGTGTCACTGGGGACATGGTGGGTGTCACTGGGGGCATGGGGGGTGTCATTGGGGGCATGGTGGGTGTCACTGGGGGCATGGGGGGGCTGAGCACCCACGGGTGCTCCCACACCCCCTTCCCCCCAGACTCACCCGCCCCGGGCTCCTCCCCCAGACCAGCGAGGAGGTGGTGAGGACGATGACGGGGCTGAAGGTGCCCCGTGGCCACCAACGTCACAACGAGACTCTCTTTGTCCCCGACTGGACCGAGAGAGCCCCGGCTGCCATGGACTGGCGCAAGAAGGGCTACGTCACCCCTGTCAAGAACCAGGTGAGCCCGGCACTGCCAGGGGTGCCCAGAGCATGGTGTCACCCCGGTGTCACCCCGGTGTCACCCCGCTGTCACCCCGGTGTCACCCGCCGTGTCCCCACAGGGCCAGTGCGGCTCGTGCTGGGCGTTCAGCTCGGTGGGCGCCCTGGAGGGGCAGCTGAAGAGGAAGACGGGGAAACTGCTGTCCCTGAGCCCCCAGAACCTGGTGGACTGCGTGGCCAACAACGACGGCTGCGGCGGCGGGTACATGACCAACGCCTTCGAGTACGTGCGGCAGAACCGCGGCATCGACTCCGAGGACGCCTACCCCTACATCGGCCAGGTGGGGTGGGGCGGGGGGACACGGGCCCCACACCTCCCTCCCTCCGCCCCCATCACCCCCATCTCACCCCCCCCTTCCCGGCAGGACGAGAGCTGCATGTACAGCCCCACCGGGAAGGCGGCCAAGTGCCGCGGCTACCGCGAGATCCCCCCAGGCAACGAGAAGGCCTTGAAGAGGGCGGTGGCCCGGATCGGCCCCGTCTCCGTGGGCATCGACGCCAGCCTGCCCTCCTTCCAGTTCTACAGCCGGGGTGAGGGGCTGGGGGGCACGCTGGGGCGCTGGGGCTGCCCGGGGGAGCCGAGGTGGTGACGGCCCCGTGTCCCCAGGGGTTTACTACGACGAGAACTGCAACGCGGAGAACATCAACCACGCCGTGCTGGCCGTGGGCTACGGGGCACAGAAGGGCACCAAGCACTGGATCATCAAGAACAGGTACGCTGGGGGTGGGAGGGCCGGTCACCGGCTCGGGAATTGCTCTTCCGGAGGCTCAGGCTCTGCTTTTCCACCCCCCAGCTGGGGCGAGGAGTGGGGCAACAAGGGCTACGTCCTCCTGGCCCGCAACATGGACAACGCCTGCGGCGTGGCCAACCTGGCCAGCTTCCCCAAGATGTGATGCCCTGGCCCTTCCCTCCCCACTTCCCGGCCTTCCAGCTTGGCCTCTTCCCTCCCGGTCTCGAAGGACAGCGCTCCCGGGGGGAATTCTGCGACTCCACCAGAAATTTCCCCCGGGAAAGGGGAGGGAGCCCCTGGCCCAGCTGCAGTGAATGGAGGGATGAGCTCCCCCCAGCTCTGTTTTCCTGGGAATTCTCTGCCGTGCTGGCTTCTGCCTTCCCATGGATCATGCTTGGCCAGATCCATGAAGGCCGATCCATCCAGAGATGCTTCAGGAAGTGGGTCCCAGGCCAACCTCTGCCTCCAGGAATACTGGGGAACAGTGGAGGTGGAATATTCCCAACGGAGAGCACAGATCCCTATCGCTCCACCCTGTATCCCAGTGGAGGCTGCTGAGAATGATACGACTATTTTTCAAATAAAATTGGGAATAAAGGCTGGGACCAGTTTGCTCCGTGCTGGGAAGGGGTCACAGGGATGGGAAAAGTCCTTCTCTGTCCCAAGGGGGCAGGACCCCCGTGGTGGGGGAGAGAAGGTGCTGCTGGGGAATTTTTGGATGGACAGATGGACAGAGGATCTGGGCCTGAGGGAAGGACACGTGGAAGGACAGATGGATGGATGAATCCACAGGAGTCCCCCAACCCCATCAGGGTCTCACAAACACCTCCCCCGGGGACTGTCAGCCATAACTGGGGGGCAACGTGGGGCTGTAGGGACACGGGGAGCCCCTGGGATCATGGCAATGGGGGGGAATGCGGGTGACAGTGACACTGTGGGGCCACGAGAATCCTGGGGCTTTAGGGGGGGGAAAGAGACCCCCTGGGGACAAGAGGCCACGGGCACCCCATGTGGGCGAGGAGGTGGCCACAGCACACCCCAAAACCAAACACAGGTATCACACTGGGCCCGACACACCCTGACAGCACAAACACCCCAACACCCACCCACACCCCGGCACACCCCGGAATGGGGGCACGGGGGGGGCCCCCAAAAAACAATGGGGACACTCACACACAGGGGTGGGGCCCCAAAACAGTGGAGACACTGAGACACAGTGTGGGGGGGACCCAAAACAATGACACAATGGCCCCCCCCAAACCCAAACAATGGGGACACTCAGAGGTGACGACACAGCATCTTTATTGCCCCACTCATGCCGGGGGGTGGGGGGGTTTCACTCGTCCTGGCCGGGGGGTGGGGGGGCCACGGCGGCCCCCAGGGTCACCTGGTCCAGGTAGGCGTTGTCGAAGCAGCGGCGCCGCTCGGGCTCCTCCCACGAGCAGCAGCCCTGGGGGTCCCTCCAGGCGTCCTCGGGGGTGGCACAGAGCGTGGCGATGGCCTGGGACAGCTGGGGACAGCGGGGAAGGGGGGGGGTCAGGGTGGCCGTGGGGGTCCCCCAGAGCCGTTGACAACCCCCCCACACACCCCTCGGTCACTCACCTGCTCCCGGGCACAGACCCCGCGCTCCTCGGGGGCGAGGGGGCAACACGCGGCCGTCATGGCCCCAAAAAGCTCCGGCACGGGCCGCCTGCGGACACGGACAGGGCGCGTCACGGGGAGGGGGGTCACCTCAAGGGGGGGAGCCTGGGAGAGGGGGTGGACTCCTGGGAACCCCCCTGAGAGGGGTCCCTGAGCACTGGAGGGTCCCCGACGTCCGGGTCCGCTCTGGGATGGGGAGTCCCGGGTCCCCTCCAGCATCAGGGATTGTGGGGTGCCGGAGGGGGGGGTGTGGGTGTTTTGGGGGTCACCTACCTCTGCGTGAAGAGGCGGGTGGGGCCGCAGAGCGAGCGCAGCAGGCCGGGGCCGGGCCGGACCAGGCTCACGTTGTGCAGCTCCCGGTCGTAGGCGGGGACGGGGGCGGCGGCGGCGAAGCAGCGGCCCCGGGCCCGGAGACCCCTGCGCTGGCAGCACCAGTGCTGCCTCGTCTTCACCGCCGACTCCTCCCGGCAGAACCGATTCATCCCCTTCAGCCACTGCGGGGCAAAGACGGGGGTCAGGGGGTCCCCCTCGGACCCCTGGGTCCCTCCCAGGCACCTGAGTCCCCCCAAGCCCTGGGTCGTTTCCCGGACGCCTCTGCCCCTCCCCGTCTGGGTCCCTCCCTGAGAGGTTTGTCACCCCCGCAGACACCTGGGTGCCTCCCCCGCCTCTGGGTCACGCTCCGGGCACCTCGGTCATTGCCGGGGCACCCGGGGCTCCTCCCCGGATGGCGGGGGCCCTCCCAAACAAACGGGGCCCCTCCCCGGATACCTGAGGGCCAGCCCAAACACCTGGGTCCCTTTCCCAGACTCCTGGGTCCCTTTCCCGGATTCCTGGGTCCCCCTCCCAGACTCCTGGTTCCCTTTCCCAGACTCCTGGGTCCCCCTCCCAAATGCCTGGGTCCCCCCAGTCCTTCGACACGCGAGACCCTCCCAAACACCTGGGGCCATTTCCCAGACTCCTGGATCCCTTTGCCAGTCACTTGTGTCCCTTTCCCGGATTCCTGGATCCCCCCAGGATTCCTTCGACACCCGAGTGCCCCTCATCCTCTGACTCCGGGACCCTCCCCGCCCCCGTGTCCCCCCGTGTCCCCCCGTGTCCCCCCGTGCCGCACTCACGGCGCTGTGGGCGCAGCTCAGGCTCTCGTTGCGGCAGCACCGCCCGTACTCTCGCTCCAGGCGGACCCGCAGCTCGATGCGGGGCCCGGAGGGGGCGTCGGGCGCGGGGGGGCCGGGGCGCAGCTCCCGCAGCCCGCAGATGTTGCCCAAGTTGGCAGCCGTGGGCTCCCCGGGCGGGAAGGGGGGCTCGGTGAGCAGGTCCCAGGCGGTGTTGGGCTCCCAGGAGGTGTTGGGGTGCCAGGTGGGGGCCGGGGTCTCCTGGGCGAAGCAGCGGCGCCGCGCGGCCCCGTGCCGGCGGCAGCAGTGGAACTGCCGCGTCTTCACCGCGAACTCATCGGTGCAGAACCCGTCCAGCACGTCCGTCCACTGCGGAGCCCCCTCGGGGTCACCCCGGCCCCGCGGCGGCCCCGCGTCCTTCCCTCCACCGCGTCCCCGCGTCTTTCCCTCCCCGCGTTGTCCCCACGTTCCCCCCGCCCCGGTGTTTCCCTGTCTTCCCTTCCTGCAGTGCCCCCATGTCCCCCCCCTCCAAGTGTCCCCGTGCCCCACGGTGTCCCCACATCCCACCTCCCCGCGGTGTCCCCACATCCCACCCCCCCGCGGTGTCCCCACTCCCTGCAGTGTCTCTACGTCCCCCCTCCCAGTGATGTCCCCCGTGCCCGCGGTGTCCCCCCCTCCGCGCGGTGGTCACCCCTGTCCCCGCGGAGTCCCCCTGTCCCCGCGGTGTCCCCCCCGCGTCCCCCCGTGTCCCGCACTCACGGCTCGGCGGGCGCAGGGCAGCGGTGTGCGCTGCCGGCAGCAGTCGCTCATGCGGGGCCGCAGCGCGGCGAGCGCGGCCGCCTGACGGTGCAGGTGGGCGAAGGCGTTGGGGGGCAACATCGGGGGCGGGGGCACCGTGGGGGGGTCGCGGCAGTGCCGGGTCACGGCGGCGGCCACGGGCCAGGCCGGGGGGAACCCGTCCAGGGCGCTGCCCCAGGTCGGGGGGCGGCTCGAGACGGTCGTGGCCCTCCCTAACAGGATGTCGGGGGGCAGAACGGGGTCCACCTCCTGCTGCAGCACTGAAAAAGGGGGGGTGGAGGGTGGGGACACGGCGGGTGATGTCCCCCCTGCACTGTCCCCAAGTGGCACTTGTCCCCATGTGCCCCCCTCTCCCCGTTTGTTCCCTGTCCCAGTGTCCGTGTCTCACACCGTGGTGTCCCCCCACCCCATCCCCAACCCGCACTGTCCCCAAGTCATTCCCACCCCATGTCCCCCCTGGTCGCCCACCCATGTCCCCATGTCCCTCCACCCCCAACCTTGTCCCCTTCCTCCCTGTCCCCACCCGTGAGCATCTCCCTCTCTCCCGTCCTGGGTGTCCCCCGTGTCCCCCCATCCCTGGCTGTCCCCGCCTGTCCCCTCACCTTGCCCGATGTTGATGGGCTGCAGGTCCAGGCTCTCCTGTAGCACCTGCTCGACCTGCCCCGAGGCCGCCGCTGTCACCGGTGGGGGACACAGGGGGTCAGCGGGGTCACCCCCTCCATCCTCACGCCCGTGGGGCAACGAGCAGAGACCCTCCCAAACCTGCGGGCCCAATGGAGCCCCATCCCGGGGAGGGGGCCCAGGAGGTCGGGAAGTGGCCGCAGGAGTTTGGGACAGGGACCGCCGGGCACTCGGGAGGGCTCCAGGTGTGTGGGCAGGGACCGGCACATCCGGGGCGGGGAGCCCAGGAGCGAGGGTGGGACACCCTGGAGGTGTCCCAAATACCGGCGAGGAACTCAGGTGTCCCAGGTGGGACCCGGGAGCTCGGGAAGGGGACGCGGGTGTCCGGGAAAGAGACCCGGAGTTTCGGGAAGGGGCCCCAGGTGTCTGTGGGGAACCTCAGGTGCCCGGGGAAGGGATCCAAGTGTCCGGGAAGGGATCCAGGTGCCCGGGAAGGGATCCAGGTGCCCGGGAAGGGATCCAGGTGCCCGGGAAGGGATCCAGGAGTTCGGGAAAGGGATCCAGGAGTTCGGGAAGGGCAGCCAGGTGTGCGGGAAGGGGACGGGGGTGTCCGGGAAGAGGATGAGGGTGTCCGGGGGGGGGCCCAGCCGTGCAGGGGGACCGTGGCTCGGGGCCGCGGGACTCACCGGCGGCGCTGAGGAGGAGGAGGAGGCCGAAGGCCGCCATGGCGTCGGGCGCTGTGGGGCTACCGCCGCCTCCGACGCCTTATGAAGGGCCGGGGCGGGCGCGGGGCCACATCCTGCGGGCTGAGTCACGGCCTGACGTCGGGGCAGGGCCGGGGGGGGGACCCCGGGAGGGGCCGGGGGGCTGCTCCATGTCCCGCACCCCCAGACAGGGCCAGGGTCGTGACCCCCACCCCAGACAGGCTGGGGACCCTGTCCCCACCCTGGTGGTCCCGTCCTCACCCTGGTGGTCCTGTCCCCACCTTGGTAGCCCCGGACCCCCCTCTGGTGGCCCCAGCCCCCCCCCCCCTCCGACCCTGGCGTCACAGCAGGGGGAAGTGGTCGGACTGCATTTTTGTGGGTTTTGCCCCGTTTCGGGGCCACCGCCCGCTGAGTCACCCCCGGCGCTGGAAGGGGGGCTCAGGGGCCACCCACGGAGGGACCCCCGGAGGGGGAGGGGCTCAGCTCGTGTCCCCAACCCTGGGGACACCCCAGTGCGGGGCAGCAGCGGCCGGAGGGTCACGGCTTGGCCACCTCCCTTCGCCCCAGGACGGGGGGTCCCGGGGGGGGGCAAATCCTGCCTGGGGCTGAGCCCGAGGCAGGTGCCAGCCCCGTGTCCCCCTCCTCGATTGCCCAACCGGGTCTGCGGCGACGTGACTCGGGGTTTGCGCAACCCCCCCACTTTCCCCCATGTGTGGGCGGGGGGAAATCCCGGCGGGAAGGACCCAGAAGTGTGGGAAGGTTGGGAGGAGAACGCACCCGGGAATGGGAATGCGGGAATGGGAACCTGGGAATCTGGGAATCTGGGATAGGGGGACACCCCCCCCCCAGTGTTGCGGTGGGGGAGCCCGGCTGTACAGGTGTGGGGGGGACTCAGGTGTTGGGGTGTGGGGGATCCTCCCGGTGTCCCGCCCCTCCCTCCCCGCTCCGCCCCGGTCTCCGCTCCCGCCGCATCCAGCGCGTTTTCCAGCGGTTTATTGAGTAGGGGGGGGGTCCCGGGGACCCCCGGGGCGGGGGTTGGGGGGGTCAGAAGCGCTGCTCGGCGTCGGGGACGCGGCCGTCCCGCAGCTCCCGCAGCCGCCGCAGCACCCGCGGCAGCTCCAGCTCCCCCAGCTGCCGGTTGTCCCGGGTCCGGACGCTGACGGTGCCGCGCTCCCGCTCCCGCCGACCCACCACTGCCGGGGCACCGCCGTCGGAAGGGGGGCACGGGGGGCTCCGCACCCCCCCTCACCCTGCACACCCCCCCCCCACACACACACACAGCACCCACCACCCTGCGGGGTCAGGGGGCCCGGGGGGAGTCCCAAGGGATGGGGAGGCTCAGGAGGGTCCCGGGGGGGTTGCCCAGAATAGTCCTGGGGGGGGGGCTCCAGGGGGGGATCCCAAAGGAGGAGAGGGGCTCAGGAGGGTCTCAGGGCAGGGGGGTCCTAGAACAGTCCCAGGGGGTCCTGGGGGGTCCCTAAAACAGTCTTGGGGAGCTCCTGAGAGGATCTCGGGGGGGTGGTCCTAGAACAGTCCCAGGGGTGCCCAAAAGGGGTGGGGGGTCTCAGGGGGTCCTGGGGAGTTCCCGAGAGGATCTCAGGGGGGTCCCAAGGAGGGGGGTGTCAGTGAATTCCCAAAGGAGGAGGAAGCTGCTGGGATCCCAGGGAGGTCTCCCAGAGGGATCCCAGGGAATTCCCAAGGTGGGGGTCCCAGTGCCTCCCCCCACAAGCAGCACCCAGGGTGTGGAGAGGGGTGAGTGACTCAGCACAGCCAGTCCCGGGGGGCTCCCTGGAGGGGTCCAGGGGGGGTCCCGGGGGTCTGTGGGCCGCGTGCCCCCCCTTACCCAGCTGGAAGTTGTAGTGGGCGAGCTGGGCCCGGCGGATCTTGCGGGCCAGGGTGGCCCCCGGGTCCCCGTCCAGGTCGGCCAGGAGGCCCCCCCTCCTCAGCACTGCCTGCACCTGCCCCCCCCCAGCATCAGTGGGGGCGTGGGGGGCATGAGAGGGTAACAAGGGGTGGGGGGACATGGAAGGATGGGATGGGAGGATATGGGGAGACACTGAGGGGGTTACAAGGGGATGGGGGAGACGTGCCAGGGGTCCCAGGAGGGGATGGAGGGGTCACACACTCACCTCCCGGGCGTAATCCTCGACCTCAGGGGTCTGTGGGATGACCATGGCCTGCAGTGGGGACAGCCAGAGCGGCCTGGGGGGCACCAGGGGTCATGGGGGGTCCTCAGGGGGCACAGGTGCCCCCAGGATGGAGGTGCCCCAAGGATTGGGATGTCCCAGGGATTAGGGGGGTGTCCTGGGGATTGAGTGTCCCCAAAATCGGGGGGTGCCTGTCCCAAGTGGGGCACCCTGGGACAGGGGTGATGCTGAACATGAGGGGGCCCTGAGGACTGGGGGGGTGTCTCCAGGACGGGGGTCTCCCAGGGATTGGGGGTGCCCTTAGGATTAAGTGCGTGCCAGGGGTCGGGGGCTGTCCCGGGGATTGGGGGCTGTCCCAGGGGTTGGGGGGTGAGGCAGGAGGTGTTTTTGGGGCTCCCCCTCACCATTTCCCCCCGCAGCTCTCGGCCAGCACAGCCACCATCCGCTCCACGGAGCCCAGCACGGCCCGATGGATCAGCACCGGCCGCGCCGGACCCCCGCTCGGGCTGGGGGGAACAGGGGGTCAGAGGGGCAGGGGGGCCCCACCACCACCCCCCAGCCCAATCCTGACACACCCCCATCCCATTTCTGCCCCATCCAGCCTCAGTCCTGACCTGCCACCCAAATCCTGACCCTCCCCGGCCCCAATCCCCACCCCCCTATATCCCTCATTCTCCCTTTCCTCTCCCAATCCTGACACTCCTCAGCCCCAATCCTGCTCCCCCCATCAATCCTGATCCCCCCACCAATCCTGCTCCCCTCCCAATCCTGATCCCCTCCAAATCCTCAGTTCTTCCCTCTCCATCCCAATTCAGACACTTCTCAGCCCCGATCCTGCTCCCCCAGCCCCAATCCTGATCCCCGCACTCCAACCCTGACCCCCCCCAAGCCCAACCCTGATCCCCCCCCCCTCAATCCTGAACCCAGCCCAATCCTGCCCCCTCCAAACCCCCAGTTCTGCCCTCCCAGCCCAATCCTGCCCCCCCTCCCCACTCCAATACCTGGCATATTCCAGCTCGAATCTCTCCGGCATCTGGAAATCCAGCTGGATGGTGCCACACTGATGGTGCCTCCCCAGCGCATCCCGGATCCGGATATCGATCTGTCGGGAATAAGAGGGGTGGGAGGTTCCCAAAGGATCCCGTCTGCCTCCTTTGGGGACCCCCCCCCCCCAAAATCCCTCACCTTGGGCCCATAAAAGGCGCCGTCTCCCGGACTCAGCTCCCAAGGCTGCCCGAAATTCCGCAGGCTCCGCTCCAGCTGCTGCAGGGAGGGATTGGGGGGGTCAGGAGGGGACAGTGCAGGGGGGACACGACACGGGGGGCATCGTCCCACCTGCTCAGCGCGATCCCAAGTGTCGGGGTCCCCCAGGAACCCCTTGGGACGCGTTGCCAGGGCCAGGCGGAAGGAGAAGCCCAGGACGGCGTAGACGGTCCGGATGAAATCCAGGGAGGAATCGATCTCGCTCTCCAGCTGGGAAAGGGGTGTCGGGGGGGGGCATGTGATGCATTTTGGGGGTCAGGGAGGGGCCGGGGGGGACACACCCACCTGCTCCAGGGTGCAGAAAATGTGGGCATCGTCCTGCTGGAAGCGCCGGACCCGCGTGAGCCCCGTCAGGGTCCCGGGGGGCTCGTTGCGGTGCAGGACCCCGAAATCCGCCAGGCGCAGGGGCAGCTCCCGCCAGGAGCGCGGCCGGTGGGCGAACATCAGGCTGGGGACGGACAGACAGACGGGCAGAGCCCCCAGGAGCCCCCCTGGGGCGCCCCGGGACCCCCCCCACTCACCAGTGGGCCGGGCAGTTCATGGGTTTGAGGGAGAGGGTCTCGGGGGCGGCGGGGACGGAGAAGATGTGGGGGCTGTAGTGCTGCCAGTGCCCCGAGAGCTCCCAGAGCCGGGGGCTGAACAGGTTGGGGGTCACCACCTCGCTGAAGCCCCTCGCCTGGTACTCGCTCTGCGGGGACAGGGACAGAGGGGGATGGAGGGGAAATGTCAGCTCAGCCCCCCGGCATCGGTCGGGGGGGCTGCAGCCACAGGGGCACAGCAGGGAACTGGGGGGCAATTGTGGGTGAGGGACGGGGAGCAGAGGGGGGCTGTGGGGTCTGGGTGGGAGGGGATGGGGGGCAGTGGGGTCTGGGTGATGTGGGGGGCACAGGCAGGGTCTGGGTGGGAGGGAATGGGGGGCAGTGGGGTCTGGGTGATGTGGGGGGCACAGGCAGGGTCTGGATGGGAAGGGATGGGGGGCACAGCAGTGCCAGGTGCAATGGGGATGGGCTGCAGTAGGGTCTGGGTGATGTGGGGGGCACAGGCAGGTCTGGGTGGGAGGGAATGGGGGGCAGTGGGATCTGGGTACTGTGGGGGGCACAGGCAGGGTCTGGGTGGGAGGGGGGCACAGGGGGGTAGTGGGGCAGTAGGGTCTGGGTGATGTGGGGGGCACAGGCAGGGTCTGGGTGGGAGGGGATGGGGGGCAGTGGGATCTGGGTACTGTGGGGGGCACAGGCAGGGTCTGGGTGCTGGGGAGGGGCACACAGCAGTGCCAGGTGCAATGGGGACGGGCTGCAGTGGGGTCTGGGTGATGTGGGGACGGGGAGATGATGGGGGTCAGGGGGGGCTGGAGGGGGGTCCACACCCGGATAAACTCCACCAGGGCGTTGTAGACGTGGGCGCCGCGGGGCAGGAAGAAGCAGCTGCCGGGGCTGAACTTGTGGAAGAAGAAGAGCTCCTGCTCCTGTGCGTGCAGGGGTGGGGGGTGGTGTTACCAGGGGGTTCCTGGCACTGTGAGCGACCCCCCCGGCCCCCACCCCAGCGGGGCTCACCCTCCCGATCCGCCGGTGGTCCCGCAGAGCCGCCTCCTCCTGGGCCCGCTCCCAGCGCTCCAGGGCCTCGGGGGTGGGGAAGGCGACGGCGGCCACGCGCTGGAGGGACCGGCCCCCCAACCCCCCCCACAGCGCAGCCGAACTCTGTGGGCACGGGGGGAGGTCAGGGGGGCCGGGTGACAGGGACCCCCCACCCCAACACGGTGGGGGGACATCAGCGGGGCCGGCACTGGGGTGTCCCCCCCTCCCCACCCCGACACCCACCGTGAGGACACGCAGGGCTCCGATGAGCCCCGTGTGCCGGAGCAGGGGCCCACGGCAGAGCTGGAGCAGGGGGCCACACCTGCGGGACAGATGGACGGACGTGGGGACAGTCATGGGGACCCCCCGGCCCCTCCCCAGTGTCCCCCCTGCTCACCTATAGACTGTGGCTGTGGGGGACGTCACCTCCTCCTCGAGCTGCTGCAGCTGGAAGCTGTTGTGCTGAGAGGGGACAACAACGGGGTGACAGGGGCACAGGTGACATTCCAGGGGGTGACACCGAGGGGGAAGTGACACCACCCTTGGAGGGGAAAGGACCAACGTGGTGACGGTGGCACAGGTGGCACCACGGGGGGCGAGACCGGTCCCCACGAGCATCACCCCGGTCGAAAACCCCGACCAGGAGAATCCCAATGTCCCCAAGCTCATCCTGGGATGGGGAGGGGACAGTCTGGGCTGTCACCTTGAGGAGCTCAGCCAGCTGCTGGCGCGGGGCCTCGAGGCGCTCGAAGCGGTGCCGGGCGCGGGCGAACGTGGCACAGGCCTCCTCCAGCGCCGGCAGCTCCGTGCTCTGCACCGTCCTGCAGGGCAGGGGACAGGCTGGGGACACCCCAGGGACATCCCGGGGACCCCCGGCACCATGTCCCCCCCCTGCCCTACCTGTCCCCCATGTGCACGTCGCAGTAGAATCCGTCCTCGGTGGCCCGGGCACTGCAGAGCGTCCCCCCGAAAAACTGCTCGGCCACCGCCCCCAGGACACAGGCACTGGAGTGCCAGAAAGCCTGGGGGCACATAGGGACACGGGGGGGACACACAGGGGGACACAGGCTGTGAGGGGAGCACGGGGTGGGTCTGGGATCCCCCCAAGCCCTCCCCCGACTCACCTCCCGCCCCTCCAGCGAGGAGAAGTCGAGCAGCTCCAGGTCACTGTCGTGCTCCAGGGGCCGGTCCAGGTCCTGCAGGACCCCGTTCACCCGGGCCACCAGCGCTGCCTCTGCCAGGCCACCCCTGAGGGGACACCAGGGACCCGTGGGGACACCGTGGACACCCTGGGAGGATCGTGGGGACCCCACAGACTCTGTGGGGATCATGGGGACCATGGGGACACTGTGGGAACCTCAGAAGCCTTGTGGGAGCCCTGAGGGGATACTGTGGGAATGCTCTGGGGATCCTGGGGACATTGTGGAGACCCCATGAACCTTATGAGGGTCAATCTGGGGATCCTGGGGACACTGTGGAGACCATGGGGACATTGTGGGAACCCAGTGGGAACCACAGGGACACCGCGGGGACACTGAGAACACAGTGTGGACCCTGGAGACCTTGTGGGGGAGGTCGCAGGGTACCCTTGTGGGGACCTTGCAGGGACACCATGAGGGGCCCGGGACCCTTGTCAGGACAGTGTGGGGACCGTGAGGGGGTACCGCGAGGGGGCTGGGACCCCTGTCAGGACACCGTGGGGACACCGTGGGGGACCCCATAGCCCTTGTGGGGACCCCGGGCCGTACCCGAGCTGCGCGGCCACCTGGAACGGGGTGGTCTGCAGGGCTCGGCCGTCCAGGCGGTGCCCCCCGGGCAGCGCGATGCGGATGGGGGTCCCCGGGGGGAGGCGGCCGCCCCCGGTGCCACCGCCCGCCCCATCCTCATCCCCGGGCCCGTCCCGCCGCTCCGCCGCCGCCGCCCGCAGCCGCTGGAAGAGCCGGAGACGCTCGGGGTCCGGCCCGGACACCTGGGGACGGGGGGACATCGGGGAGTCACCGGGGGTGCTGTGTGTGTGTGTGGGGGGGGGGGGGTTCACCCCGGTGTCACGTGGCCACCGGGGGATCAGGGACCGGGGGGGTTGTGGGGGAGGAAAGAGGTCCCAGGGGGTCCCCACGGGGCGGAGGGTCCGGGGTGATGCTGGGGGGGGGGGGGGGGTCCCGAGCGCACCCGGTGTCGCCGCGGGGCTCCCGCGAGCAGCAGCCGCGACCCGGCACGCGCGGACATGGCCGAGGCTCCGCCCGTTCCGCCGGAACCGGGACAACCCCCGGGGGCGGCACCGGCACCAGTTCTCCCCCCCCCCCCCCCCGCGCAGGCCGCAATGGACTCGTCCGCCCGGGCGGGAGCGTCGCGGGCAGGACGGAACCACCGAGAGGGCCGGGGGGGGGGCGCGGGACGGGACACACAGGGAGAGGGGGGCTCAGCACCCGGGGGGGAGCCCCAAAGGCCGGGGGGGGGCCCAGACCCCCCTGCCCTGAGCGCACGCGAGAAAGAACGGACCCGCCAGCGGCTCGTTTGGTACTTTTTATGCAGATCCTGAAGCCCACACCGGTATCAAACAGGTTCGATGGAGGCAACTAAAAACCAACAAAAAATAATTAAAATAAATCAAGTAAAATCCCGACTTCATATATAAAAGCCGCGGGGGCGGCCCTGGGTGGGGGGGACGACCCCCTCCCCCGAGCCCCCCACGGGCTCCGGCTGCTCGTGATGAACGATTCCAGAGGGAATTAGAAAGTGATTGTTGTTATATACACACACAGGTAGAAAGTCAACACTGATCCTGGGGGCGGGGGGGAAAACAAAAAACAAAAAAAAAACCAAACCAAAAGATCCCCAAATTAACCCAAACCCAAGCGACAAAGTCTTCCCGAGGAGGGTCAGGCTGGGGAGTCCCACACCCACAGAGCTCGGCCTAAGGTGGGTTTGAGGGGTTCCTTGACCCTTTTTGCCTTGTTTCGGTGGTTTTGGCAGCCGGAGGGGGAACAGGGGGGGTCACCCCTCCCTGCAGCAGCGATTTGGGGATCGGCTGAAAACCAACACCCCGACAGCCCTCAGTGCTCCTCCCGAGGCTTGCAGAGTTGTCTTTCCTTTTTTAATGGTTTTTCTTTCTTTTTAACTTTTTCAACTACTACTGAAGTTTTTATTTAACAGCAACGCGGCTTCTTCTCGTTAAAACATTGGTTTGTGTCTGTTTTCTTGTCTCGCCCAACTTGATGGGGGGGGGAGGGTGGGCTGGGGGGGGAAGAACCAACCGAAAAGTACAGAACATTTAATTTAGGAAAAGGTTACTGGGCGGGGGGGGGAGTCTCGAGGGGAAGAAAATAAAAGGGAGGGCAGGGAAAGGAAAAAAGGATAAAACCAAGTGAAAGGGCAGCCCTGGGAGCTGGGCGGCTGCTTCAGTACCGGGGGGGGAAGAAGGGGCGCTTGGGGGTGAAGAAGGGGGCCCCCCCCCTGCCGAAGGGCGGCCGGGGCCGTTTGAGGCTCTGGAAGGGGTCCCTGGCGCAGAAGGGCTCCCGCGGGCGGAACTCGGCGCGGGGGCTGCGGAGCAGGACGGAGCCGCGGCCCCCGGGGTCCCGGTGCGCGGGGGGGCCCAGCCCGCGCCCCGCCCCCAGCTGCTCGCGGGGCAGGGGGCTCGGCCCCGCGGGGTCGCGCGAGCGGGGCAGGGGGTCCCGCGGCTGCGCCCCCCCGAAGTGCTCCTTCAGCGTCCCTGGCAGCGTACCGTGCTCCTTGGGGAAGGCGCCGGCGCCGTGCTCCAGGGGGGGCGGCGCGGGGAACGGGACCCCGCCGTGCTCCCCGGCCGGCGGCGGCTGCGCAGGGAAGGGCACCCCGGAGTGCTCCCCGGGCACGGGGGGCGGCGGGGGCGTGGGGAACGGGACCCCCGCGTGCTCCACCGAGGGGGGCGGGGGGACGCCGTGGGGCAGCGGCAGCGGGGCGGGGGTCTCCTTGGAGAAGGGGTTGGCGTGATCCACCGACGGCAGGCGCGGGGGCACCGCGTGATCCCGCGGGAAGAGGCTGCCGTGGTCCTTGGGGGGGGCGGGCGGGGGCACGGCGGGCGGCCCCACGGGGTCCCGCGGGAAGGGGGTCCCGTGCTCCAGGGGCGGCGGCGCGAGGGGCGGCGGCGGCAGGTGGTGCTCGAAGGCGGGGCTGAAGTTGTTCGTTCGGAAGTTGTTGACGCTCTCCGGGAAGGGCGGCACGTGCTCCTTGTAGGGCGCCGGGAAGCCGCCCATGCCGGGCAGCTCCGAGGAGCCCGAGGGGCCGTTGTCGAAGGCGCTCCCGCCGCTGCTCAGCTCGAACCAGCCCGCCCGGCTCCCCTCGCGCCCGTGGCCCCGGCTGCCCTTGCCCAGCACCCGGATGGACTCCACGGTCTGGATGGGCTCCCCCGACATGCCCCGGCTCGAGGCATTGTGGTAGCCCAGCGTCTCGATGGGGGCCCCCTTCTCCTCGGTGCTGTCGGGCAGGTCCAGGCAGGAGGAGGACACGCGGGTCTCGATGCGATAGTGCTCCTCGGGAGGCTGCGGGTCCTTGGCGGCCCCGGACAAGCTCCCGCCCTCGCCGGAGCTGCTTTTGGGAATCTGCCCAAAGTGCTTCTCCTCGGAGGGCTTCCGGGAGGCGTTTTTGAGCATGTTCTTGAACTCGATGGTGGAGGTGGTGGAGATGGAAGAGCCCATGGGTTTGTCCCCGCCCGCTGCGGGCGCTCGGCCGGCAGGGCTGGGGAGGGTGTTCTGGGAGGAGAAGAGCGAGCGGTGGGGAAGCGTGTGGGGCGAGTCCGGGTATTGCTTCTGCGGGAGCCCGGGCTTGGGCAGGGTGTTGTGGTTGGAGTCCGGCGTGAAGAACACGTCGTTCTTGCTGGGCGACGGGGACCCGTCCGAGGCCGAGTCCTTCCCCCGGCGGCCGTAGCTCCCGAACATCCCCGGGGACGAGGCCAGCGGGTCGCAGCCCTCGCTCTGATCCAGGATAGACCTCATGGAGGGGGGGAAGGACGGCTTCACGCCGAACTCCTGCGACCTCTGGCCGTAGCTGGACAGCACCGGCTGGTACTCCGCTGACTCCGGGAGTTTGCTCGATTTTAGGATAGACTTGACGGGCTTCTTCTCCAGGTTCAGCATGGCCGAGGGCGGCGGCCCGGAGTAGTCGAAGTCACGGTAATCCTCGTCTTCTTGGAAAGACGTGTCTGGGTAAAACTTCTCCTGGGAGGAGTCCATCAAAGAGGAGGGAATCTCCCTGCTGTCCGCAGGCGGCTTGTACAGCCCGGCCGGAGACTCTCTGTCGAGGCCGAAGGGCCGGTAGCCGTGCACGGAACTGGGAAGTTCTTGGGAATATCCATCGTCCCGGCCCTGCAGAGGCGACCTCGTGCTGCTGGGAGTAGAAGAACCAGGGCTCATGATTTTTGACAGCAGGGAGATCGTGTCCACGTTGCTCGATGTCGGCTTATCCATCATCTCGTCCTGGGTGGGTGTCCCGCTCCGCTCGTCCCGCACCGGCGTCCCGTCCACATTGTCCATGGAAGTGCTGATGGGACCACGCTGGAAGTCAGAGGTGTGACTCTCCGCTGCCATGCTGGACCCCAAGCTGCTGAGGATGGGAATATTCAAGTTCAGGCCACTGAAGCCAGGGTTTCCCTTCAGGAAATTGTGTATCTTCATCTCCAGGCTGGGAGAAGGGGGTTCTGATTCCAGCTTGGCTTTTGAAATTTCGGAGGACTGACCCAGTGGGGTTTCTGTTGGCAAAAGGGAAGAAGGACTGGTAGGGTGGGAACTGGAAAATCCCAGGGAATTGGTTGGTGGTTTAAAACTGGAGCTTGACAGTGCTGGGGTGTGTCCAATGGGAGCCTTATTGACCGAAGTGGAGGAAACCTCCGCGGTGGATGAGTTTGGAGAATAACCAAAACTTTTGGATATAAAGGACTGTGGATTGGAAGGAACATTCCTCCCCTTCATGCTGGGCACAGTTGTGTTGGCTGGTGATGCCGAAGTGCTCTGGGAGGCGGGTTCGCCCGACTGGACGGTGTTTCCAGCCACACTCTGCAGCAGGGATGACAAACCTGGAAGACAGAACTGCATCAGGAACTCTGGAGAGGCAAATCTCCCCGAGCCGCTTCCAAGGGAAAGGCTTCCCTGTTTCCACTGTGGATGGCGTTCCCTAACACCTCCCCCACGCTCCAGCCAGGAAAAGGACTGGATTGTGCTGTGTTGACATTAGCACCCAGCGAGGTGCAACCTCCTGCCAGAGGCTCAGATTGATCTACAAATATAAATTACTCCATCAGGTCAGTTGGGCAAGAACCTGTCCTGGTCTGCAGCCAGGTGTGTGAAACCTGCCCTGCTGGCCAGGTGACCCGTGCAAGGTGCCAGATCAGGAGCAGAACCTCTGGGAGCTTTGTGCACACGGAAAACACAGAGACCTCTTGGTCTCCTGTCCCGTTCAGGGGCCTCACACGGAGCGTTCCGGGTACGTGCACTTCGGTCACGGCACAAGCAGGAGGAAGCACAGAGAACTGACAGAACTCACTGGTCCATGACACGTGTGCTACCTGAGAAAGACCATCTGCACGTGCCACAGGTGTAAAACATTCCAAGGAAGTTTTTCTCCCTCTGTTTTCACTTCAGGACAGGCAGAACAGCACGTTTCAGCCCGGCACCTTTGAACCCACCAGCCCTTGCCCAACACCCATGCCAGTACCTTGCAGTGCCGGCGCCGTCTGGGTCTGGGTTTTGGAGAGAGCCGACAAAATGCTTTCCGGAGTTATCTCCACTTTGGAGAGAATGTTTGCTAACGGATTCGAAGGAGCAGACGGAGTCCCCAGGACAGGAGTCTTCAGGCCACTGGTGAGAGCTGTGGGGCTGGTCGGGGTCCCCGGAGAGGGTCTGGAGGCAGGGCTCACACCTGGGACGGGAGCACACACCACTCACCTGAGCTGCCCCGCTAACCCAAGCGCTTCTGGCTCAGGTTTTCCACACACACCACTGAGCTCAGGAAGCCGACAGCGTGTGCCAGAGACCAAGCCAGAGCTCAGACAGCAGGAACTCGTGTTTATTTTGAGGCAATTAAAGCTCTAAACAATCACCCCGGTGTGCCAGCGCCGGTGCCCAAGGCCTGGCTCAGGACTCACCTGTGCTCTTCATCACCGACGTCAAACTGCTCAGGATGGAGCTGATCTTGGCCAAGTCCACGTTGGCCAGGTTGGGCAGGGCCAGCGCCGGTGCCGGCAGGACGGGCACCGCGCT